ATTATTCTTGATCGTGTGTACTTCAGTGAAAGTCTAGTCCCTGAAATACTCTCCATTTTACAATAGCAAACATTTGGATGATTTGACAGTATGATTGAATTTTTTTTCTATCACATCTTTGTCATTCTTTTCCTAAATCTTCGATATTTTTTTCAAACATTTTTAGCGAAATATTTCCATTCATCAATATGGTGAATTGTATGACCGAAAAATTCCTGAATATCAAAATCTAATTAATCTAGAAAAATCAATCAAATTACTTGAATCAAATTGGCCTGATCAAACAATTTGTTCATTGTTGTCTAAAATATCAAATGATAATGATGATGGTGATCAACTCTTCATAAAAGATAAACATGAATCTGATAATAAACAATCAATTGTCGAAGTAATTCATAATACAAATAAAAATACTGAAAATTGTTTAATATTTCCAATTCCTGGTGCATTCAATACATCTGAAGTGAAAAGAATTAAATCAGTATTTAATTGGAAACAACGGATATAAAGAATGAGACAAAATGAAAGGAAGAAATGAACAGATTAAATCATGTTATAAATAAATAGTATATTTGTAATAATCCAATGAGGAGAAAAATTAGATTTTCTAACGTTTCGTGACTTAGTGTAAGTCACTTCTTCAGAGAATAAAAAAAATTATGGATGAGATTATTTTTTTCGACATTTTGTTAAGACATATTATTCTGAAATAAATGTAGATGATTGTAGTTTTTGTCTTATAATGATGGAAAAGATTTTAAAATGTATTACTGAATAGTTCTTATATTCTATTTTCTAATGTAGTGCACAGTATAACATGTACTTATTATTGCCATTATTATTGTTAGGAATTGTATATAATTCATGAAAATCTATCATTTAATAGAGATTTCCAAATATAAAACAGAAAAGTTCAAGCAAACAAAACTGTTACCAAATAACAACGTATATCATATCCATTGAACAAATTAGTAATTCATTGGTTTACTTGAGTATGTGTTAGTATTTGAAAATAATAGATATTGAGTTTGATTCAAAATATGGATATCAGCACTGCGATACAGGTACATTCAAGTGATGTTTGATTTCTAATTTAGACGGAATAAGCATCCTATATTTCACTGTTAGCTACTAACCAAAAATATAAGGACAGTGTAAGTATAGATAATACAGAGATCTTTAAGAGCCTTCATTAACCAGAATAGACAGGTCAGATTAAGGAACACAACACAGACGCGTTTCAGTATTTTTAACTCTTATTACTTTTAAATATTAGGATGCTATAAAATAATGAGAGTCGTCGATTGGGTTATAATCAGTCTCCATGGTTAGGCAGGTTTGCCCAATCTCACCATTCCTTTCCGACTTTGTTATCGACGAAATCCTACAAATAGCTCTGATTGAAGTATGGAATGATGGTGTGGATCCATCACCTAGAGAAAGACTTTTCGATATTAAGTACTCTGAAGACAGTCTTACTGTACGGTGAAACTCAAGCTACGGAAATCATACTTAATCAGTTGGGAATCAATTTTCGTAGGTAGTAGCACGTAATTTGCACCTATCAAGTGTTAATTGGTTTTAAAACACCGCCAAGAGCCTCAACTCGCACACACTTTCTGTAGAAAACCATCAGTAGTCGAGAAGTTTGTGTTTCTGTGTAGCTATGTAAGTGCTAGTGGTGGCGTGAGTGATGATATCAAATTACGTGTAGTGAAAACCAGGATGACTTATCCCAGTCTACACCATCTTTGATGACGTCCTAATGTCAGCCTGTCTGTGAAACCTAGGGTCTCGGAGTTAAGGATGTTCGTGAACTCAGCGCTCAATTATCCGTTGCTTAGTGAGTGTTGACATCGAGTCTAAACGTCATGTCAATAATGTGGAGGTTCAGCACTATGTATTCGTGAACAGTGATGGTAGCTCGTTTAGTGCATCATCTTCAAACACCGCCTTCGGTAACTTGAACCTGTCCTGAGAATTTCAACACGGAGACTCTACCTTCCGACTCCGAGACTGGTTGGAAAAAGTGGAGTTTACGACATGGTGCTGTGGCATGAAAGAAATTTGTAGAGGACTGGTACCTGTGAGCCCGGAAGAGGTCTTAGAGATGGTGCAACTTAGTGAGTTGAGATATAATCAGATAAGGTTCTGAATAGAAGACAATGGTAATCTTGCCGTAATTTTCTTATACATCCTTCATAAAAGTGGAAGCAACCCATTTGATTGAAATCTTTACTGGTTGTTCTTCCGATTAAAGTGTCACTCCTACTATGAACTAATCTCACTCATTTACTTCCTCACACATTTATTCACTTTGAATATACTCCCCTCTCCTTCATCTATCTCTTCGAAATGCCATTTTTATCTATAAAAGGAAATATTTATCTTGGTGCCCAGATGTATCACTATTTATGTGCTTATTGCTATTGTTAGTGAATATCCCAGCTGATTAAGCGTTGCTATCCTCAGTAACACAGTAAATATTGAAGTTAAACTTGTTGCTAGGATGTTAAATCAATATCAACATTCAAATATCATCATAATATGGTATAAACAACATTATCCTGTATTACATTATTTAAACGTCATCAAAAGTTAAAATAAATAAAATGTCATTTTATAGTTAAGACAAACAGTCAGATAGTTTATTTGTAAGAGCTGTTTGAATTTTACTGTTGTTGATGATAAGGACTGGGTTTTTAAAAATTTCATTTTTTGCATCCTATGCCAACAACCTTGATATTGTCATTCAGTTACGAGGTATTATCTAACTCTGCTTAAAAAATACTTGTAATTTGACGGAAGTATTGAGGCAATTGATCACTATCAGTTCTTAACATCAAAAACAGGAAGATTGAAAAAAAAACCTACATAATGAATTAAAATTTACCTCCGTTGTGTAATCCAGTGGTTGTCTGAACTCACTAGCTAAATAAATGGCGAATCGGGAGTTTAAAAGGTACTGAGTTCGAGTCTCAGTGTGGACATCAACATTGGGTGAAAGTACATTCACCTAGAGCGTCCTATACAAGACGAAGCACATGTCCTTAATTGCACTGCTTTCAATTATTCAGGTGTTTAAAAATGCTAAATAGTTTTCCTGTTTAAATTCTCGGTTCTATACTAGAGTATACACGTGATAATAAATTGCCAAACGACTGATTTTGAAGATATGTTCTTCGAATTGAAGAAAAAGCACAGAATTCTTGAAATTCTTTTTCATTATTTTAAAATATCTGGTACTGAATCTTTGCCATTTTCAATTTGTAAAGATAAATCCTTCAAATTGAGGATTGTCAATATCTATATTTCCAACCGGCTGGAGTGCAACTATACTGAGGCACGTGATAACAATGGCACTGAATAATGAAATCTAAAAAAATGGATTATTGGGTCGCAACTCAATGCTCATCACGAGATCTGACGACCCTGAGTTAGGTTTCATATGTGGTTATGATTGTGCACTGATGTAAAGTTTACAATTACGATGAAATACAGTAGCCTGTCTAATACTTCTTCGTTTTACATAGTTCATCAGATGATGTCAGTTCCTGATGCAAACTGTAGAATTTTGTCAGAAATATATTTCGATTTTCAATTGCCATGAAGTTTATCTAGTCTCGGAAAAGCGTTCTCTTTCGTTTATTAAATATCATTATATACAATCTGATCATTGGTCCTTTGACAATACAACACGTAGAAGAAATGAAAGTGATATGTTGAAAAAAATCTGCAAATTGAACTGGAAACTGGTCTCACATATCCACTTAATCAATGATAAATATGCATCGAAAATTTCTACTAATCATATGAAATTATGATGACCCCTAGCATCTTTATTTTCTACTATTTTACAAGTTAACTCTAAACGTTTGTGAGCCGAGTCTGGTAACCCCTCGCAATGGCTTTAGCTGTCCCCTTATTGATTGTTTAACCTTTCAACATGGAAAACTTTTCTAGTTTTCAAGGGCATGGATAAAATAAATATATAAAATCAGAAATGTATCACGGTCATATCTCTTCGGGCGACAGTATTGAAGCTCTTTGTCGTAGAATACAAATTTCTTTACTTGCTGATAATGCGCTCAATGGGATGAATATGACTGAAGGGTTGTGTAGCAATGCGACAGACTACTTACCTACTTTAGTGGAAAGCATCATCAGGATTTCTGAATTCCTTTGACTTCACCGACTGACAACAGACAAATAATGGCCTATGTTTGATAATATAGCACATAAACTAATTACCGATTTTATAATGAATCGCTTCATGACAATGAATACTATTTTGTGCAAAATATTATACATATAGAGTACTAATTGTTCATTCTTATTTAAAGTTCCATACTAGGACGAAACGGTCGTCTAGTGCTCCTAGGTTTTTTAATGGTGGTCTAACATTTATTAATTCATGATCTCAATCGAAAACTTAACAATCTCCACAACACCACACTGATCATTAGAATATCACTGACGATTTATTGTAGTTGACGAGTGATTTTTATGTAATATTTTAGTTAATCGATTTTAAAAATAAGAAGAATTACAGATAACTGTTTAAATTTAATACAAACTTAATCGAGTACAATAGAGAAAAGGGTGAAATTGTTTCATTTTACAATGATATGACATTTTTGTTCATCAATAAGACAAAAAGCAAAGCTATGAATGAATATATTATACAAGAATAATTTCAGAGAATAAATAACACAAATTGTTGTTCATTTAATATACTGAACGTTGTGACGCGACATAAGTCAGGGTCATGTCAAGTATTATTGTTACAACTACTGTTATGACCCCAAAATGCATTATTATGAGCAAACATATATGAAGGCGGATAGATAATAATCATAATAGTAATGGTAATTCATATGTATTGTGCTAAAATATACATAAAAATATAAAAAAATATTCATATTTATTACAAATTAAAATATTGTTGATTGTTTTATCCAATAAGCTGACAATGACTGTTACTAATGAGTGAAATTTTCTAATAATAATAATAATAATAATAATAATAATAATAATAATAATAATAATAATAATAATAATAATAATAATCACACGAGCATATATATCACAGCGATGTTGAATGACAATGTGTCCGAGTATCATGATTTGAATGCATAATACGAATGCAGGTTACTCATCCATCTGAAAGCTGTTTCAAGAGCATCTTCAGTGAAATGTTGTTCCATATCAAATTGTCTTCTCTACATAATAAACAGATAAGAAATTATTGTATATGTACATATATATAGACTAGGCCATTTTAGAAATAAATGATATATGTATGTAACTTTTAGTTGGATAGTTTGAGAGATATACGAAATTTTGATCTGATAATATTTTAAAGTATGTTTAAACTTGAAAGTTTGCAACTATATTGCCGATAAATATGTTGAAGTATTCACATCACCATAATCATCATCGCATGTTCACTAATAATGACTAATTTCGAGAACTTTTGAAGTTCTAGTGAGAAGCTACAACCGGTGGAATACCATAACATGTTGATTGTTGTAGTTGCTACTACCTGACTGTTTATATTAAATAAAATTTCAGTTACGAGTTGAAATCACCCGAAAAAATAGGGAGTATTGGACGACTACTCCTTCGATCGATCAGAACTCTGCAGTAGAATGCAACCACGATCATTAATAGAGTTGTTAGATATACCTTTTAATCCCATACATTCACAATATATATCCATATATGCTTGTGTTCTTATTGACTTTTAGAGTTTATTTAAGAGGAAAACAAATAATTAGTGATGAATCATACATTGTCCCAGTCTTATTAATTTCACATCTCTTTTCAGGATGAGTAGTCTAGTGTTTCAAATTAGAACAAAATTTTGTGCAATTATTATTTTGGCAATGGCGCTTTGAATACAATAAACATTTGATAATCTAACTTGTTTCAACATGTTTTTCGTTCATCAGTAATTGATCGCTTGTTCAAACTAAATACTACATTACAATCAATCTAAAACTTTAACTAATACCTTTTATAGGAAACTTAAAAAGGATATTTATGTTGCTTGTATTTTAACAAAGTAAAAGAGATAAATGCCTTCTCCCCAATACATAGATAGCCATGGTCCACATTAGTGGACCATGGCTAGTGAAGGTATTGAAAGGACAGTTTATTAATCGAGTAGTTGGTGGGTTGTTGATACAATCCAGTTGTCTAAACTGGATTTCGTATAGTTTAACATCTGAGGCATATGTTTGTTTTAGTGAATATACTTTGAATACAAGTGGAAGTTGTTAAACTAATGGTAGGAAATAAGTGCATTGGATAATTGCTTTGCTTCATTTTTCTAAAGAATTCTATTTTTAGTGGATATTTTAATCATTTAGTTTGCGAATCTATGTTACACAATAAAGTGAGTAAACAAATTACATTTATTCATAAAAAAATGAACAAGCAATATTTACCTTGATGTTTAGGTGAAGTTGCTGGTGTTATACAACTTTCACTGCTAACTGATGAGTTTTTTGACAACTTCCGATCTAAAAGTTTCTGTGGGAAAAAAAGAAAAAATCTTTTCATTTGTAAAAACAAATTTAACTGATTCGTGCATTCAGTTTTTAATAATACGTTCTGTGTACATATGACCTCTAATCATACTTGTTGTTATTTCACTAATCTACATTAACAATAAATTCATTATCACCGTTCTTGTAATCGTTGGCACGATTGATAGGCCATATAAGCTCTCGCCTACTTGAACATTTACCAGGAACAAAATGCGTTAGGAATCCTCGAAGATTCGTTAGAAAAGTATTGCAAAGACCGAAGAATGTTGTGAATCCTTCGATCAATCAACATTCTTTAGAAAATTTCAAAAGAATTTAGGAATAAACGGGTGAAAAGATCGTTCTTATCTTGATGTGACAATTACTGAATCCATTGTCAATTTTAGAACACATCATAGAAGCGATCAGAATGCCAAGGTAACGCAGCACAAATGATACTATACATAACTTTATTACTATACATAGACAGACTTTCAAGTTACAACTACCGTGCGTCACAACTGTTTTCGAATATATATATATATATATATATATATATATATATATATATATATATATATTCAAATGTTGGAAAGTTGGTTGCATAACTGAATAGTTCAAATACCCTTATCAACTACATCACCTATTGAAACGTATTTGATAGAAAAGTGCATCCTTGCTGTGCATCTTTGATTGCCAAGGCGATGACGGAATTCCTAAAACAGTTGAGCGTATGGGACTCAAAACAAATGTCAGCCAACATCAAAGAAACTTCAATACGAACGTCAATACAGCTCTACCGTATGAAGCTACAACCATCACCAAAAATGTACATGTATTTATAAATAATTGTGTGCGCAAGATACTCCGGATTCGACGGCCGGATATAACACCAACAACAATCTACTGTGGCAGAGAACAAGCCAGCTTCCATCTGAACACAAAATTAGGAAAAGACACCTGAAATGGATAGGACAAACATTGCGGAAATCATCAAACTCCATCACAAAGCCAGTCCTACCTTGCAATATTCAAGCTAAAGGAAAAAGAAGCACGCTAAAGAACACATTGAACCAGAAATCGGAGGCAGATATCAAAAGAATGAATCATACTTAGTAACAGCTGGAAAGGGGCGCCCAGGAAAAAATGGGTTGGAGAATCCTGGTCGGCGGCCTATGTTTCTCCACGACAGGTAAAAGGAGTAAAAGAAGGTTAGTACGTAGATGTTAAACCACTGAGTCAGGCAAGAAATGCATTGAAATAACAGGGTCGTAAGTGGCTACACTTCGGGAAACAACCATCCCAGTCACTTAAGTCCATTTTTGGTCTTATACTACATGTTCGTTAAATAAACAATTAGAGTTCAATTATTTAATTAACTCACATATATAAGATAATTGATGTGATGAACTCTTAGTTGACTATCTTCATGTAATAATGAACTAGGTTTCAAGAAATTTATGATAGTGAGTTTCGATGAAGCTCTAGAGCATGTAGGTTGGTGACAGGTCATTTTTATTAGAAACTACCCGTACTTAAGTCATAACGAGTGACTGTCTTATGAAATCGACATACTAACCAAGCACATATCGCTTACAATCTAAACTGTTTGTTGGCTTAACTATTTACATTTTCAAGTAGTGAGGCGAACAAAGTTCTCAATGATCGTCTGACAGTAACGATTCTAGTTGTGAGAAACTCTAACTTATCCCTTATGTATCAAAAAACCCGTTCTGAAAAAAATTATTCCGTTCAATCCACATACAACACGTAAACAAATCTATTTCGGCATGATCCATTTAGTACCACTGTTGCTCGGTCTGATATAATCTCAACATGGACTGTAGTAAATATCACTACTTAGTAAGAGTAGCCACAACACTGAATAACCACCAATGATAATATCTCTTCCCGAGTCATGTGAAATGTTTGGGAAGCATATATTTATTTAATTAAGCATATATATTATTTGGAAGAATAGTCTATTCACTCAGACATCACAACAGATACCTCATGATAAGATCTCAACAACCACATACAGGTGTGCCCCCAAATGCCCTGGTACGGCCCAGAGTGGGGAGAGTCCGCTCTCCCTCTCGAAATACTCTCACACGGCCACGCGTATATAGCCTCTGCCAGGGAAGTCCTACTCACTGCCTTCTCGTGGCGGGGGTGTTGTTTACGAAAATGAGAGGACGAAAAGCGAATGTCCGGCGCTTTAACCGGATTCCAAACCAATGGCGCACATGGGCTCCAGTATCCTGCGGGAACAAATGGCGAATGAACCAATTGTTAGTCACCGGCTTCCATGGGACTGCATCTCCTTACGATGCTCCACTGCCTTGTGGATCAGACCTTCAGGTCGAAGGCTCGGGGTGTGGCCCCCCTAAGAAAACCACCTGCTTCGGTTTGGGCACCCGGGCAGTATCACAGCCCTCACACATATCGAATGAGATTTGTGTGGCGCATATGTATTTGGTGCCTCTTCGTACCATTATCTATGTGTTGAAATAAAAATAAAAAATACATACAGGTGTTATCCGGCTGTTTCTATACTACACAATACTCGACAATGTTCAGGAAAAACCCCACTGACAACTAAGAAGGAGAACCAAAACCATTAATACCAGTAATACATATTCCCAACTTTAATTAATTGATGATTTAGAGTGACAATAACAGTAAGTAAAGTAAGTGAGTAAGCGAGTAAGTAAAGATGAACCAGTTAACTCTGGTTGATTTCATCCTCTTGAAAAAAATTTATGCAGATTTTAATGAAGTCCTTCGTTTTAATATGATATACATTGATATATGTGAGAAAATATATGACTAACTTTATATTTAGCTACTGTGCTCAATGCTAAAGACTTTTCCATTTCCAACGATTGGATTTGCTCTTTCAAGATTCTGGCATAAAAAAGATAGTAGAGCGAGAAAATGACAATAAAAATTTAATCAATTTTGAAAAAATTTCTGAAGTAAATTGATTAGACGCTTACATAAAAATATAAGTAAAAGCCAAACTCACAATTAATTGGAAATCCCAAATAGCCTTGTAAAAATCGAGAGTGGGATGAGTCAGTTCTTCTTTCTAAAATACATTTACAAAGCTACATGTTGGCAACCTCTGCTAAGAAAATCCTACTTATTGTTTTCATAAGGTTTTACGAAACTGAGAGGGTTGGTATGTACAGAGGGTCTGTCTATAGAAGTCGAACCCTGATTCTACTAAATCAGTGGTGTGCATAGGCTCCAAGATCCTAAGGGGACAAGTGGCATATGGAATTACTCTGGTTGCAAGCTACCACGGAACTGTATCTTCTGACATTGTATTGCTGTCTTATGGATTATTCCTCTGGGGCAAAGGCCTGTTAAGTGGTCTACCACCTGATTCGGTATAAGTGCCCGGGCAGTATTCTAACGCATTCACAAATATGATAATCAATAATTATGAAGTAAATGATTTACTGTTTGGCTTATACATTTTTGGTGCCCAGCTGTAACAAATTTCATGTGTATTAAATAAATAAATAGAGAACGGTGCAGCTTGTTTACCAAGTAATAAATTACCAAACTCGGATTTCGATCACGCTAGAAGTATACGTGTGATTGTCAGTGATGCTATGCGACTGGCAAAACCAACACGAGTAGATTTCGGACATGTGACCTACGCTTGATGCTTAATTTGAGTAGTGCTCTGTTATAAATATACCATTCACGAGGGTAATTTTGCAATGGTTTTCAGGAGATCCAGGAGCCCTTTATATTTTTTACAACCTGAACAGAATAGCGCAAGCATACATGTACCAAAAGTCATGTTGGACCACCACAAAGCTTTGCTAACAAAAAAGGCAAGACACAAGAGATTTAAAGCACAGTAGATGATGATGTATTGACAAGGTCCATATCGTTCGATGGATTTGTAAAAAAGGAGATAAACGTTTTATGTTAGGGTTAGACTGAAGACAGGAAATGATTTCTTCAGCTGCAATGTTTCAGAAATATTAGTTTCGATGAAGAGAAAGCTATCCAGTAGTGAATCCATAGAATGTAAGCAGTGATTGGTTGGTGAGTGAAGACAGAAAAGATAGGATGTATCACACACGATCGACAGACTAATATTGCGAATGACTTTATCGTATTTACTCCAGTTATTTTGGATATTGACGGCTAGTTTGTTGATTAAATGGTCGGATAGGTGTGTTGTAGTTTTGTGATTCAGTCATATACCCACATTATACCAATGGTGAGATCGTGAACCTATATAAGTTAGACAACCAGTGAAAACATGGAAACATTGGACAGCTGTTTCGTTTTAGTAAGGGACTAATCTTCAGGGTTTTGTGGATCTCAGGATCTTCGGTCTAGGGCGCAAACACTTAACCTCTAAATCATTGGGGTAGAATCCAGCAGTGTGGACGTCTAACTTCAATTAATGAGTAATATCGCTCAATCACATTCTATTGTCTTCAGTGGATAACTTGCTGGAAGTTGATAAGTTTGAACTCCATTAGTCATGGTTTCTCAATAGAATTTCGGACATGCACATCACTGGATTCGGATTCGTTGTCTCAATAACATTCAATAATCTCTTCCCCCTATACTAATGATTACACTCTAGTTTGTATTACAGCGGAACACTAGAAACAAGTCCTCCAGGCACTAAAGTATGCAGTGCTTCATTACTGAAAACATGTTAAGTACAATATTACGAAATTACAATAGCCATAAGGCTAATGAGAAAAATGATGATTACTCACTCACCTGCTTTCAGTTATTAAGGTGTCGATATCTTGAATTTTTCGTTCATCTCCACTTAAAATATAATTTAACTCATTGTTCAATCGATCACACTTATTACGATATATATCTCGTTCCGTTGCGATTTCTTGCTTCTCATCAAAACACTGCCCCAATTCGCGTTTGAGTTCAGAAACCTTTAAGAGAAATAGGTTGAATTCCTTTTTTAGAAAAAGTAACGTCAAACTAACAAAGTAGTGAACACAATGTAGTACAGTCTATTCATCGACAAAATAAGAAGGGGTTGTATCCGAAAAAAGTAGACCTATGGTTTGGTACATGGCCTAGATTTTTAATTACTAGGATTAGATCCTTGGCTTGCAACAATTTAGTCCACTCAGTAGAGTATTACGAGCTCCTGACAGAGAAAAGTTATATTACAGTATAAGATTGGTTTGTAAGTGGGATACGACATACAGATAGTACATTTGTTGATGAAGTTCTGAAACCATTATTGACTGATGTGGTTAAAACAGCTGTTACGCACGCACAATCGCCATCAATCTCTATATGTTATAGCGGAAAGCATAAGAACTGAGTTAAAAAAATAAAGGGTGAACAGACAAAAACAGTGTCAATCTAAATGGTCATAGTCTATCTATTTGGACAAAGCGCTAAAGGGCATTAATATAGATGTATTCATTCTGAACCATCTCCCGACCGTTGTTGCTACCTTGACGTGGTGGTCGGGCTTGCCTATCGTGATGAAGCAACCGAGCTATACTGGCTGGAACAACCGTTCCTCAAGGTCCTACCATGTCAGACAGGTCGGTTGAAGAGCGGTAAGACTAAAAGCAACAAACCTAAGGTCCGAAGGCGAAGTCGTACTGCTGACTGTACAGAGGTGTGACAGCAGTAAGGTGTTTCCTTCAGACAACCAGCATGACAGCGATGCTGCCTTCCCACAAGGAGGGGTGGGGTTAGAAAAGGTCGACCCTAAAAATGCACACCTCACCTTACCTCACGGATTTCCGTCTCCGGCGGTAAGGCCCTTCGAAGAACGGAGCTAACATGTCAAAAACCTTCCACGGAAAGGCCGTGCGCGACCGGCCTCAAGCAGTTGTCCCTTGGGCACTGCGGTCACGCTCTCAGGTCGCCGAGACCGCCTCTAATCCAATTTCCTTTTCAGGTACCTCCAGAAGAACCCTTCCACGGTGTGGGCAACCGGGAAGTGATAACCGCCCTCATACCTCTAACAGCACCCAAGACCACTGTATTCATAATCAACCTTCCTCTTCAATTCCTATTATTCCTCCTACATCGACTTTGAACCCTAAACTTCCTCCTTCGGCTTCTTCCTCAAGTGTCACCATAGCCAACGATTCTAGTGCTCAAAACTCTGTCCCAGGTCTACTGAAACCTCGCTCCAAACTACACATTGGAGCTTTCAACGTACGCACTTTATGTCAAATCGGTCAGCAGGCTTCCTTGGCTAAAACCCTAGAGTCTCTTTCCATTGATGTATGCTGTGTCTCCGAAACACGCATACAGGATTCCAGTGTGGTCATTCACTTGACCTCACCTCGGCAAAACGGAGAGCCAACGAGATACACCCTACGTGTATCTGGTGACCCGATGGCCAGTTCTCGTGGACTGGCAGGTGTAGGCATAGCACTAAGCATGAGGGCGGAACAAGCACTGCTAGAGTGGATCCCCATCAACAGTCGTCTATGTGCTGTTCGGCTAAACGGCTCCGTAAGAACTCGGAAGGATAGGGACACACGTCGTTGCCTTTTTGTCGTTTCTGCCTACGCTCCCACTGACTGCAGCTCCGATGAAGTGAAGGATGAATTTTACAGGAAGCTTTCTGAACTTCTTCAGAAAGCTAAACGTTCAGACATAGTACTCATAGGGGGTGACTTTAATGCGCTGATAGGTAGCTTAAACCAAACAGAAAGGCATTTAGGTGGATATTTTAGCATTCCGGCACAGCGAACAGATAATGGTGATCGTCTGCTGCAACTGTGCTCAGACAATCGCTTATTTTTAGCAAACACAAATTTTAAGCATAAGGAGAGACATCGTCTAACATGGCGACCCCCTACACCAAACCAACGATGGACTCAAATAGACCATATTGCCATCAGTCATCGTTGGAGAGGGTCGGTAGAAGTTTGTCGCTCATTCTGGAGTACCTGCTTGGACTCCGATCATGCCCTAATACGGGCACGCATCTGCTTGCGCCTCACCGGACGCAAAAAAGCCACATTAAAAAGACCAATTAGAACTGAATTGAGCAACGAGAAAACCAAAAATAGGTTCCAAGAACAACTGAGTTCACACTTAAGTAGTTCTGAACACGAGGCTGACCCAGATGTTGCTTGGAAAGACATACAAGCAGCTGTGGAAGCAGCAGTGACATCTATTAGCAACTTAAACCACAGAGTTTCAAAGAACCAGTGGATTTCTTCAAAGTCTATCACACTGATGGATTCTCGCAAATTTGTCCCATCAGGTTCCGAACATGATGAAGAGCGACAACAAATCAGATCTAGGTTAAGAAAAAGTTTAAGAAACGACCGTGAGCAGTGGTGGGCAACGAAAGCAAAAGAGATGGAAAAGGCGGCGACTATAGGGAACACAAGACAACTTTACAGACTAATAAAAGAAACTGGAATTAATAAGTCAAGTGTAAGTGAGATTATATCGGAAAAAGACGATACTCTCATCTATTCCCAGTCCAGACGTTTAGAACGATGGGCGGAACACTTTAGGGAACAGTTCAGCTGGCCTTCAGCGACTCTACAACTACCCTCCATTCCCAGACAGCGTGAATGGAACATTGAAGTAGGTCCCCCAACTCTTGCTGAAGTTCAAAAGGCTATAGATAATCTGAAACGAGGAAGGGCAGCTGGACCAGATGGACTGGTTCCAGAAGTCTTTAAAGATGGTGGTCCAATTTTAGCGATTAGGATGACTAATATTTTAGCTAAGATCTGGGAGTTAGACGTTATTCCATCTGACTGGTCACAATCACTTATCGTCCCAATATATAAGAAAGGGTCAAAATCATCCTGTGACAACCACAGAGGGATTAGTTTAACTAATATAATATCTAAAATACTAGCCTCGATAATTATCAGACGCCTAACTAAGACTCGTGAACTGCAAACACGAGAAAACCAATCTGGCTTCAGACCTGGTCGTGGCTGCATCGACCACATATTCACCATTCGTCAGGTTCTAGAACACAGGCACACTTATCGGCGTCCGACGATGGTGGTCTTTCTTGACTTAAAAGCAGCATTTGACTCGGTAGACCGCGAGGTTCTGTGGCAGTGTCTGTCATTGAAAGGCGTACCTCAGAAGTACATAAACCTTGTGAAGGCTCTTTACTCGAACACTACTAGTCGAGTGAGAGCTTATGGCGAACTGTCATCTACTTTTGCAACCTCAAGTGGTGTCCGTCAAGGATGTCCACTTTCCCCATTTTTGTTTAACTTCATCATAGACCTACTGATGGAAATAACTTTCTCGTCGACTGAGTTCTCGGGTATTGATCTCCTCCCAGGAGGTCCACTTATCGACTTAGAATACGCAGATGACATAGTCCTGTTTGGTGAAGACGCTGACAAAATGCAGAGTCTTTTGGTAGCACTGAGCAACAATGCCAGAATGTTTGGAATGCGCTTCTCTCCCTCGAAATGCAAGTTGTTGCTTCAGGACTGGTCTGCGTTAACACCTGAACTAAGGATAGGGAGTGAAATAGTCGAACGCGTTGACAACTTCACTTATCTTGGAAGTCTGATCAGCCCTAATGGATTGGTATCGGACGAAATCTCAGCACGGATTCGAAAAGCTCGTTTGGCTTTTGCCAACTTACGTCACCTGTGGCGAAGGCGAGATATCCGTCTATCAATAAAAGGACGAGTATACTGCGCGGCAGTCCGTTCTGTTTTACTTTACAGTAGCGAAACATGGCCATTAAGAGTAGAAGACACTCGCAAGCTGCTAGTATTTGACCACAGATGCCTTAGAAATATTGCTGGCGTCTGCTGGGATAATCGGGTAAGTAATAGTGAGGTTAGACGCAGGGTATTAGGAAAGGATGGTAAATCAGTTGATGAGGTTATGAATCTTCATCGACTGAGATGGTTGGGCCACGTGTTACGTATGCCTGAACACCGATTACCACGACGTGCAATGCTATCCGGTGTTGGGGATGGTTGGAAGAAAGTTAGGGGCGGCCAAACCAAAACGTGGCATCAGTGCTTGAAGTCACTAACTTCTAGTCTGAGCCATGTTGGTAGATGCAGACTACTTGGTTGGGGTCCGCGTGACTATCGTAACCAATGGTTGGAGACTCTTGGTGACATGGCTCAGAATCGATCACAATGGCGTCGGTGTATACACTCCCTGTCTTCCCTTAAACTAAGAGATTAAAAGCGCTTCATATCTTTCTTTCTACTAACCAATTCTTTCTTCTTGTACTATATCTCTATATGCAATCTTTCTCTTATATATTACCACCTTTTACCTAACCACTGTTATGAATCCGGTGTTCATCTTGTTGTGCTGATGCGGTATGGCAACCTGGACCGATGCACATAAGTGCATGGTTCTACGTTGTAGCTGACTGACTGACTCTGAACCGTCTTACAAATTTTCAGTTCGTATATATTTATTCCTATTGTTTAAATTCTCGACTGCATTCGTTTAATTTTGAAATTCATTTTCTATGTTTAGTTTTGGTCGCACCACTCATGTCATTATTCCCATTGTTTTTCTCGTGTTCATTGTCGTATTATCTGTTTCTTTCGTTATATGGATACAAAATTTGGTGATTTGAACCGGCATACACGTTGTTTGCAAATAAGTGGTTGGGAAGCTGCACAACTAATAAGTTGTGCCACTACATATCGAAATTTCGTAGCAGTAAAGTGTATTTGTTTATAAAATTTCTTAACCTAAACAGTAAAATAAATCTTTAATACATAATTTGTTGACAGGATTAAACAGTAGAAAGGCATAACACAATATGACATAGGTAATATATGCTGGTTCTACTTAATACCTGCATCTATCGTTACTCGTCTAGTGTCAAGCTGTTGTAAATGCATAAGATAGATTACCAAAGAATATACAAATTTGAACCATATTGGTTATGTAGTTAGGTGTGTGTGTTAGACATAAGAAATATACAACCTGGGATATACATGAGTCGACCCAAGTTGTTGCACAAAATGATCAAGAATTATATAAATTTTTTAGGGAAATTTCACTTAAAAAGGATGTACAGGCACTGGAAAAATATTAGGTACCTGAAAAGTAAGCTCTTCCAACTGAGTTACGTAGGTTTGGCGATCATTTCCAGAAATTCTAGGATCCATTGTGTGCTGGTTTTCATATGAACGATCGCTAAGTTGTCTCCTCAACACCTTAATATCTCCTTGGAGTTCTTCAATTTTTTCGCGAGAATTCATTAGTTCATGTTCTAAACTTTTGTTAGCTTCCCTGCTTTCAACTAACAAAGAAGCAAGCTACAAAACTTCTGGAGGGAAAATGTAACCATATACTTGTTTAGTCGGTAAATGCATTATATCAGGGGTAGAATATTGGTCTGCTTTATCACATTCCATAAGAGTTTTTTTAAGCATCTGGTATCGATTCATTACCTAAAAGACGTCGACGATAGACTAAGAAAATACTTGTTCTGCCATTCTCTTGAACTCATTTCTCTCTTTTTTGCACTTTTCCAATGAGGCATTCAAAATTGAAACTGCTTGTGTCTTGGCATTCAGTTGCTGAACAGTCACTGTCAGCTATTAATCATAGTGCTGATATTATAATGTTTTGTAACTCACATCAGTTTTTAAATTTTCCAACTCCAAATGTAGTTTTTCCTCTAACTAAAAACGATTTATGGTAATAAGAGGAAGATTTTCGACCAACCATTTGATTAGCGATGAATAATACAGTCTCTCATATACATATCTGAAACATGAAAAATTCATCGCGTTAACGTCAGCAAAAAAATATGGAATATGTAGAATTTTATAAAGTTTTTGGGCTACTTATTTTTTAACTTTTAAAACATTGCATAAGCTCTCATTTTCAGGAAGCTGATATCAATCAATAACATTTGGTCACCGCATTATGCATTCATGTAGTTACATGGAGTATCCAACCTAACCGCAAAAATCGAAAGTCACAGTAGATGGTGGCATAGTCTTTAAAAGAATGAGGGGTTGTCACATGCGTTTTCCTGAAACAACAAGTCCAAGCTTTATATATTTGATGGACGAAATGGATTATTTCAGTCTGCAAATATGTAAATTAAATCACAAGAAAATTCATGATGATAACTCATAGATAAATGTACACGGATTTAGGCTACAGTATGATTGTGAGGACTAGTAGGTGGAGCGGGATCCGAACCAGTGAATTAATGACTGAAAGTCGGACGCCATTCAGTTAACATGAAAAAATATAGAGGATATGTTGCCACCGTCGTGAATATACTTTAGTGTGCATCAAATTTCTAAATGATTTCGGTGGTTTTCGGTATAGATATTTGGAATAATATTGTTATGCATTTGCTGTAAACATTTCTGTGACTCCTATTTATTTATTTCAACACATAGATAATGGTACGAAGAGGCACCAAATACATATGCGCCACACAAATCTCATTCGATATGTGTGAGGGCTGTGATACTGCCCGGGTGCCCAAACCGAAGCAGGTGGTTTTCTTAGGGGGGCCACACCCCGAGCCTTCGACCTGAAGGTCTGATCCACAAGGCAGTGGAGCATCGTAAGGAGATGCAGTCCCATGGAAGCCGGTGACTAACAATTGGTTCATTCACCATTTGTTCCCGCAGGATTTATTTATTATTTATTTATTTTATTTGAACACATAAATATTGGTACAAGAGAGCGCCAATATATATGCGCCACACAAAACAATGAAAATCCGCAGAGAGATAGAAAAAAAAACTAAGAAGCACAAAAGAAAAAGAGAACGATAACGAAGAGATTGGTGTAAGGTAGTGTGGTCGTAACGATGGAACGGAAAGGTACAATCAGAAGAAATCTTTCAAGTAAGGGAGACAACCACTTTTTATGAAGAAAGTAAAAGAAGGTTACATCAGGATCGCCACTGGCTTCTATTCTGAGCCATATCTGATAACGTCTCTAGCCACTGTGTAGCACCATCTCTCAGACCCCAACCAGGGAGTCGTGAAGGACCGACAGAAGCCAGTCCTTTGCAGCTTTCTTTCATACCACGACACCATGTCATGCACTGAACACTCCCCGAACGCCCTGGTACGGCCCAGAGTGGGGAGAGTCCGCTCTCCCTCTCGAAATACTCTCACACGGCCGCGCGTATACAGCCTCTGCCAGGGAAGTCCTACTCATTGCCTTCTCGTGGTGGGGGTGTTGTTTACGAAAATGAGAGGACGAAAAGCGAATGTCCGGCGCTTTAACCGGATTCCAAACCAATGGTGCACATGGGCTCCAGTATCCTGCGGGAACAAATGGCGTATGAACCAATCGTTGGTCACCGGCTACCATGGGATTGCATCTCCTCACGATGTTCCACTGCCTTGTTGGTTAGATCATTAGGTCAAAGGCTCGGGGTGTGGCCCCCTAAGATAACCACCTGCTTCGGTTTGGGCACCCGGGCAGTATCACAGCCCACACACAAACGATGAACTCTATGACTATGGCAACTACTTTTCTCGATCCGATAAATAATCAATCGATTCAAATAATTATCATTACTATTATTGTCATTATTAATACTATTATTATTACTATTATTGTCATTATTATTATTATTTTCCACATTATTCACCCTCTTTTATACTTATACAGCGGCTCGTCTTTGGTGGAAATTCGACTGTATCTAAACGTTCTTGAGTCACTGTCCCGCAGGATACTGGAGCCCATGTGCACCATTGGTTTGGAATCCGGTTAAAGCGCCGGACATTCGCTTTTCGTCCTCTCATTTTCGTAAACAACACCCCCGCCACGAAAAGGCAGTGTGTAGGACTTCCCTGGCAGAGGCTATATACGCGTGGCCGTGAGAGTATTTCGAGAGGGAGAGCGGACTCTCCCCACTCTCGGCCGTACCAGGGCATCCGTTTACATTAATAAATATACTGGATATTCTCCTACTATTTTCAGCGTTTTATTATCAATAATACTTAATGATAGCAGTCCGTGTGAATGTGGCTTCATTAGATCTTCTAATAATAAAAATCAATCTTGACATTAGTATGCGACTCCATACTTCTCTTCGAACCTGATCTTTTCGACGATTCAAAGATACACAAACCGCATAAGTGCGACTCTTGAATGTATATTATGTTTTAGTTAAATTACGTGTCACACTACATAAGTTCATTCATTAATCGGGAAGTTTGCCAAAATGGAACTTTTTTCCCTATAGTTCACTGGATGATATCAGTCCAAACAACACCCTCCATCTCACAGTTTGTTCAAACAGGCATTTGGTCATAAAATTTACTGACACCCTATATATTGAGATGTATGTCAAGTTGTACCGAAGTACACATGGTAGATCTAGGAGTACACAAAGGATAGATGCATGTGGATTGCTGCAACCGATGTCGAGCCACTTCACCCAAAGTCTCCAATTAATGGTCATCACAATCTCTCAAACCCTATCTAGGTTGTCTATACCTGCCAACATGGTTCAGAACATCTAAGAACCTCACAGATTAATATCACGTCTTTTATTTGGTCCCTCATCCAACTTTTTTGAAATACTCCTACAGCAACGAAAGTCGTGCTTCGAGGTAATTAATGGTTGAGCATACATAACGAATGCTCGAACCATTTCCGTTTGTAAACGTCCAGTTTCATACCTGCCTAATGTTTAGGTTATTCTGCTGCTTCCGTTATTCCGTTGGATTTCAATCAGTCAGTCAGTAACAACGTAGAACATCGTACGTACGTACATCAGTTCGAGTTGCCATACCACAGCACAGAGATGCAGTTGTCGATTCAAATCACGTAGTGGTGGAGGTAGTAAGAGTATAAACGGTAATCGGGAGGATTATGGTTCGGAGATGTTATTTAAAGAGTATAATCCAGTGAAACAAATTTGGGAAGAGAAAAAAGAAAGGGACATGAAGAAGTCAGAAGATTAAGATTTGGGAGAACACAAAGAGTGGATACACCTGCGCCATTGCAAACGATTTTGAGCCATGTCATTCAGGGTCTCTAACTATCGGTTGCTATCATCTCGCGGTCCCCAAACAGATAGTCTACACCTACCAACATGACTCAGTCCACTTGTCAGTGATTTCATGGACTTGTCCCATGTTTCGGTCTGGCCGCCCCTAGCTTTCTTCCAACCTACTCCTACTCCTATACCGTTGGATTTAAATTTTGGTTTGGCCTTAGATATGACAAGTAGCTTCTGTAGGTTTATTGACTGAGTATATCTACGAGTCGTTGGTCATTCTAATTGACATATTACTTAAAAATTTAGATTAAATTACTAAAGATGGATAGGATTATATTCGATTTTTCACTAAATATGACAGATTCAGCACCCCTTTTAGATACTTATAAGAAGTTGTGATCATTTACTTTGGGATCAACGTTGATTGGTACCTGGATTTTTCAAGGGAAATCTACTTAAAAACGTTAGGTAATTTTTTTAAAATTTTGGGTTGGATAACAAATTTACAATTAGGAAAAATATGGAGTGGGATTACGCTTCACGCCATCTGGATTGAAACCTGTAAAAGACGGTGTGCAACAAGTTACTCTCTTAAGTCTCTTGTTATTCCTACTCTACGTCAACGAATCGCTATAACTGTTTAGACCATCACTTATTTGCAGATGATATAAACGTCTAGAAGGTAATACATAGTGAAACCGATATGCTAGAGCAGCAAACTGATCTAAATGAACTAGTTAGGTGGTCCAGAAATCAATGTTTAGGAACAAACTCTCATAAAAAATGTTGATTCAAATGGGACACAACAATAACCAATAATACACTATTGATTCGATGCCAATCACGTTTTAGGACAAAAAGATCTATGTGTAATTGTAAGTCATGACTTGAGGACAACTGTACACTGCAATTCATCAGCTGGTAAAGAGTTTCATGCGTTATGTGTACTTCGCAGAGCCTTTAGAAGCCTTGGCCAAGAAATGTTTTGAAGTTGATAATTACTGAGCTCCCCATATATTTGCAGAAAGGGAACATAAAAATGAAGTACGTGTTTTGTTATTTGAAATTTCTGTATGTGATGATACATATTGAGCTTCAGTTAGTCAGTTATAATCAAAGTAGAAACCAGTACAGATGGGTGTTAGCCCATGTTTCCATATAACTATAGCAAGATGAATAGTGAAGGAGTCAAGACAAAATAGTAGCAACGGTAATGAAAAAGGCGAAACCTTGAGAATAAAGTTCGAAAAAAAGATTGAACGTATATATGTGAAGATATAATGGAGCCCGAGGTGGAGTAAACACTATATTGAGTAAAGCCTTTGTTATAAGGAATGAATGCAACTATATTACTGCCACCAATTCCGAACTATGTCGACCAACGTCTTCAAACGATTATTGCAATTATTACCTGGCCCCCAACCCGGTAGTTTGCATCTGATAATATAGCTTAGATTAACTGACAATAACTTCGTAAACTGATGCCGTGTGTTGGTTTTGCCGCCACTGCCTTTTGTTCAGTGTACTCTTCCACCTAGGGCTACTGCACACGAAAGAGCGCGGTGATTGGCTATGGATAATAAATGCGCTAGCCAATTCAGTTTGTAGAGGTTTATTGCCATTAACCACAGTTACCTAGGATTCCGCGTCTAATCTCATAATTACTCACTCGACTAACCTCCCAACTTTGAGGAAAAATCGACTTATTCGATGTAAGGTTCAAATTATTCCCACTAACCATTTTGTTCATCCTGAAGAAAACTGGACAGAAACTCCAAAATTTAAATAAAACCTGTATTTTCGCCCAAAATGTATCCAGAATTGGGAGATTGTGCGACCGTCCGAAAATACATAAGCAACAATCCGAAATGTGTCGGTCACCATATACCAGTGACCAACGAACACCCATTATTTTTAGAGGAAATGTTTCACACACAAAGAGTAAAACAGAGAGAAATGCTAGATAGAAAAGAAATTTCTGGTTGACAAAAGAAAATAACACCCACATAGCAAACTACACGAGCGTCCAACTACTGAGACGACCTAACCAGATACGTTGCATCGGCCTTAAAGGTCCAAACAAGCTATTCAACTTACGTCCAATGGTTAAGAACCTGAGTCAATTGAAGCTAGACCAAAATACTACTTATAGAAAACAATTTACAGTAGCTGCACCTACTCCCACAAAATAAAGTCACAGCATCAAAAATGAATGAAACATTTGACTAAAATAGTTTTATACTAATATGAGCTTCAATAACAATTTAGCTTGGTGTACAATTATAAGTGGTTATAAGTTCAAGTTTCAGATATTTGGTTCAGTGAGCTATGTCAAGCTGATGTGATTTTTAATGATTAAACGAACAGTAAACTGACCCAATTTCGAAAAAATGACTTTAGTATACTGAGTAATCAACAGTAAAATCTTAAGATTACAAACAGCCCACGACCTTGAGTATTTAAGTTGAGAGCCTATCGACATCGAAGTTCAATATCAACATCGTTGATTAGTCATCGATCTTTCAGATAACACTATATTGCACACGCCAATGACACATAAAAATGCATACATATGTTTATTTCACAATGCTTAATATGTGTCGAGAAGTTGGGTTACTAAATATCAATGCAGATCGTAATACCTTGACGAGTTCGTCCATTCTGTTTATCCAACCGTAATTTATAGAACAATGTAGGCTGTTCTCCAAATAGTTATCACTATTCACGCTAGGAATTACCCGATTACTGCGCTAAGAAAGAAGAAGCGAAGATAATGGGATGAATTTTATGTAGTACACGAAAAATAACAACAGCAATATATATATATTTCTGATTCATACGATCGCCTTGCTGATTTCTTCGATTTTTGATACGGTATCATCAGCAGGAGGGTTCATCTCCATTATCACAGTGTCCGCTCAGTTGTCTAAAAAGTCTAGGGATTTTTCTCTCTGTCCCGCTGGGGTGAATTTATCCACAACGCAAAACATGTAAACTTAATGTATCGCCCAGTGTAATAACGGTCATCTGTACGTTCAAATAAATACAGATTTCGTCATTTCATAATGTATTTTTAATTAAATAACTAGATTATGTGGCTAATTTTTCTGTTTTTAGTTTTCATTTGCCACGTCTAACTGCGTTACACTTTACGCTCATTGCACGCTGGAATGATATCTCAAGTCAAAGTTAGTTTAATCAAATAATTTATTGTTTCCAGATAGACCGTCAGTGCATTATGTGACTGAATAAATTTTTGTTGTACTGCAGACTATGTTTTTATGAACAACTAACTGTTGTCTTCAGTCCGAAAGCAATATATATGTATCCTTCGTCTTCTGTTGGGTAAGTTCAAATGGCCCACATTTCGTGTTTTGTTTTTATCGGCTGAATTATGTTCATTTTACTCCGGTTAGCAACATGTCTGTGCAAATGGAACAATAATTATGACACTTGCTTAGTTTAGTATTCTTGGTTGCCGTTATAATTTAGATTAGTCGATAGAATTATAGTATACTTTAGTATAATGCTTAAAGCCTGTAACGAAACGGATCAGTTTAGTAAGTAGAGCTGCCTGTTTTTAGTGAGTATGATGAGTCACATCAGTCTGATTAAAAATAGGAAAAAAAACGAGCCTTTGATGCTGTTGTGTCATATATTATAAAATAGCTTTAAGTACGTTTGGTGTTTATTTGTAGACAGTACGTCTAACACTGTTCATGTTTCAAGACCACTGTCATTAAACAATTTCCCCGGCAATAACATCGGTTGCAGGATAGCTAAGTGCTTGAGCTTTTAGGGGCCCGCAAAACAGCAGTATACAGTCTTAGAAGATGAGTGTTCTGTGTCTCAATTAAATGCAGCTAGCTATAGACAAATGTTAAGAATCTTTTTGACAACTAGGACTTTTAGTTTATCAGACACTAACTCTGCTTGTATGTCATCCTGTTAAACTAGACGCAGATGCATGGGAATACTTAAATGAGAGCAAAATAATTAAAGTATTGCGATACGGTACTAAGTTCATTTTATGCTTTGCAAAAGTCATAGTAGCTGACCTGATCTAATATTTATGAACTCAAGGTAAATCACAACTGCACAAATTCTTTGCTAAAAAACATGTAATTTGATTATTCATCTATTCCATACTTCTGACTAAATTCATCATTATTTTTTTCATTTAGAATGCAACAGGAGTGATCTTTCACAGATCCTAAAAACTGTTTCGCCCGTAGAACTGTAGCCCTATGGAACTGTTTACGGGAGACCCAACTAACAGCAGATTATAAAAAGGATGCTGCATGTCCATTTTAGTCTCACAAACACTTCCAATACTTTTTGAGTTACTTCTTTTACCCTTTCGTTTGGAAAAAACAACAAAAGGCTGCAACTTAATATTACCAGTGCAACTTTTAAACGGAGACTTCGTTTAAACCTGTTTGATATTCGATTCCTAATGAAAGTTCCTGAATAAATTTTTAAATCTAATGCTACTTTGTTCTATCTACTTAATCGTTGCAAGAAACTTGTGATACACGAGCCTCTCAGTATCTAGTTCATATGTAGTAAATTTAAGTGATTTAGTACATATCTTCGTCATTTTCATGCGAAACCTACAGACTCGGGTCCTCTCATAACTTATTCTAACCACCATGATATGTCACGGCAGTTGATGGATGGACAGGAGTTACACATCCTAACCGTACCTGTGTCTAATCTTATAGCTCCTTAATCAAATGCCATATGATAAGCGAGCAGTGCCCCTACCTGCACTAATGGAACACTAGTAACTCAAAGGCACCCTATATGGTACCTTACATTGGTCTACGCATTCGCTTAGCTCTTTAGTGAGAATATTACTCCAGACCTGCTGAAAATCCCATGAACCCCCCTATATCCATCAAAACAAATAAGTCTGTATTTGCTGCATATGGCAATTTTATTTTTCAGAAGTAAAATATAACAGAATTGGGGTAAAATGGCAGTATACAGCAGATGCACGTGGTACATGTCTTCATCGATTAACTGAAATAGAGAATACGGATATTAGCTTAACAGGCTTATTTAGAAAGACTAGTGTCTACTTTGAACTTAATGCTTGAGAAAGTTGTACTGGAGCAACGAATAATATAGGAATTTAGTCTGCCAGGGCGTATGAAGCACTTAAACTGGAGGACAGTAGTCCAAAAATAATTCCAATATGAAGGTGAAAATTTGCAGGTACTTTTTATCGTAAGGGTGAACATATTAGGTACCGGTTGACATTATACCGTAAAAAACACAAATTTGCGAGTGGTGAAATATGATCTATAAAAAAGTGAGCTCAATAACAGTTAATTACCTTTTTACTCCCTGACCATGACCTTTCAGCTTCCTTTTATGGCCAAAACAGCAAACATACACTACACACTGATAGCAGATTTCCGGCTTTTCAATGATAAGCTTGCTTTAACGCACGATGTAATGAGTACAACCCCCTATTACTGCTATATGGCACATTTTTCATAACAAACCCTCTTTAATAGATTGGTAGCATCTGTGACTTCATCTATGGTTATCGGAAGTCTGAGCCCTTTCGAAAACAATACTGATATCCCCTACTGCTGGGCAGTCTGTATTAGTTTGACTCGTTACTGGGATAGTGTTGTCCATAGTATTGAAGAAAATTGAAAACCGGAGATTGTTTCCTTTCATTTTGCCGATAACATCATAAGGGACAGTTAGGAACGAACATAAGGACAGTTAGTCACAGGCGGCAGCAACAATTATCTTAGCTAAAAAACGAGCTTCGGATTTGGATATCTGGAAAACAAGTCAAAACGAAATCGATAAGACTAGCCAGCTTGGCTGACGAAATACATTGACTTTAGTAGCAGCAGCCAAAACCCAGAAAACAAAGCAAAATGGGGAAACATTTTGCTCCAACATTCAGAGTATTGCATTAACTTCTGCATTTTAGCACACCGAAATATTAAATTATGTAGCTAAACAAAACAAATAGCTGAAAAAAAGCACAGTACGAAGAAAGCCGACCGCCATTGCTTACAAGAATGGTGGATATAATAATTCCCGCCTCATTCTGATTGGTTGCTAAGATGAAGGCCACATTTACGAAATTGAGTTGCGTTTAATAGCAGCCGTCCCGCTGCTATTGAATCTCGGTTATTTGTTTCTAGACTGGTAGCTATGGTTTAACAGTTTCCCTTTTACATTCTTCGTTGTATCTTAAGGTTCTCTCGTAACTCTATCTCATATAGACTTATATGCTTGGATCGCTAGTTCTGACAGGTTTTCGCTTATAATCCTTTATGCTCCTCTTCACCCTCTTGTTTGCTTCTGCGTATTTGGCCTGTACCTTTGTTTTCTCTGCTCTTGTTTGACTGTCGTTATTTTCCTTCTTGTTCTTTCCTTTTGGATCTTGCTCAAAATACCAAAATCAATCAACAATTATTCTGATGCTTCTAACGGTTCAGAAGTTCATGGTTTGTTGGAGTCACTGCTTCTCTAATGCCATTTCTGTTGCTTCTTCAGGCATTTAAATTGTTCCCTTAGCCTCCTACATTATTCAGAAACTTCAGGTACCCATGTCTCATCTTTCAAGACAGAGAATTTACGAGGATACTCAAAAATGTTGACAAGCCCAGAACAAATAACCCACCAGCTAAGTATCGACTTTACTATCGAATCATTAACTAAACACGTAATTGAAGCTACATCTATCGACACTTTCAAAAAACAGTTGGATAAACTGAGAGACCACTATTCTCAGGACTAACACACGCTGCCTGACCTCTTGTCCCTTCTAAATTGAAACTAAAACTGAAATGTATAACTTGTGACTTTGATTATCAGAATAAGCATCAGCCTCGAAACTTCAAAATAGTTCAGACCTTCACCAAGACGCGTCGTAACTCTTTCATATGAAGACTTCTAAGTTTCCACGGTTATAATGATAATTTGTTTAGTGTTTTTTGAGCAAAGCCCCTCATTGGAAAGGGTCGCTAACTTTATACTCAACCCTTATTCATCCGAGTTTAAGATCGATAGTAACCCAGAAGATTTTCTTAGTGTGAGTATTGTTTTGATCGTTTATTACGTATCAAGACTACTGTTTTCACTTTAACTGAATTTATTTCAGTTAAAGTATTCGACCAAAGTATCGTTTTTAGTGTTTTGTCGTTGGTACCTCTTTTTCAACTGTATCTGTTACTACTTTTGGTCTTAGCGATCTACAGCTCTTCACTTTTGGTCATTGATAATTTTTTTGTTTCTGAGTACCATCACAGTTTAAAAAAGAACCCCTTCTAAATGACCGGACAGTGTAAAAAAAGCAGTTGTCAACGTCCGGGTTGTCATTATCCTGTTGAAAGCGGCATGCAGTGCGACGAGTGCAAATGCTAGTACCACGAAGTTGGCACGAACTTAACGCCTGCTGCTTTCAAACGGTTCAGTTAGAAGGGTTGTGTGTGGCTTTGTCAACAGTGCTGCTCGGATGCAAACATCTTGTTAACCGAGGCCATCATACTGGTTGATGCTGCAAAGAAGTGTTTTAGCAAGCATAGTCGGAACGCGTCAAACAGCACTCGATCTGTCGACACGCAAATCAACGTGAAGGAAACTAAGGTTAGTCCGGTGATAGATGACTCACGCCCGTCAAAGAAGAAAAAGCAGTCTCCAAAGTGGCCTGCCTTAAACAAAAGCTCAAGAAAAGTAGGTTCTTCTGTTACCCGTCTTCCAGATGGGATCCAACAGGAAACATCTAGAAGCCACAATCGCAAGGCTCGATCGGTTTCAAACGGTAAACATAACACGACCTCTCAGGTCGTCAACAACCCCCCAAAACCCAACACTAGGTTTGAAGCAACTGTTATTGCTTCTACCAGAACCGTTGACGAATGGGTAAAGGTTGTAAGGAAGAAAAGTAGGGATATAAAAGGGAAACCTGCCCCCGTAAAAGTGGTTGAAAAATCGAAAGCTGATCATAGCGACAGATCAGCTATTTTTCATAGAATCAAGGAGAGCAATAGCTCTGAACCTAAAGCTCGTTTTGAGCATGACATTGTACTGATTAGGCAGCTGCTTAATTAACTCATGCCTCAAAATATGACCGGGGTCACCTTGCTAAAGGTGTACAGACTAGGGAGTCTAACGGACTCGAAACCAAATCATTCCAGACTGCTTAAATGAGTATTCGGCTCTTCGAACGAACGTGACCTAATTTTACAAAATGTACACAAATTAAAGGGTTCAGGAGTCTTTATCCGAAAGGACCTACCGTTGGCAGACCGTGTTAAAAGACGGGAAGCCGAGAAAGAACTACAACATAGGTTAGACGCTGGTGAAAAGGAACTGAAAATTGTAAATTTTCGGGTTGTAAGACTTCGACAGAGAATGATGCCGAAGCCACTCTGGGTGAAGCACGAAGGCACTTAAACAGGCTTCGGATCTGTTACACCAATGCACGAAGCTTACTTAATAAGCGATCGGAACTAGGTGTACAGATTGACTGTACAAAGCCAGATATAATCGCAGTAACAGAAACCTGGCTGACACAGGCTATAGATAGTATAGAACTTGATTTCGTGGGCTTTACGTTAGTAAGGGCCAACAGAACACAAAAGCGCAAAGGAGAGGGAGTAGCTCTATTCATTAGGAATGCTATCCCATTTACCATTATCGATAGTGCATCCCATGAGAGTGGGACGTGTGAATTAGTTAGTCTTCGCTTAAAATGCAAGGGACAAGAGCTGCTGATTGGTTTGGTTTATTGCAGTCCAAGCCGTGAGGCAAATGAGATCCTGTTAAGCAGTCTCAATACTTGGTCCCAAAGTGGTCGATGTCTAATCCCAGGGGGCTTTAATGCACCTATGGTAGACTGGGAAAATCTGCGAACTAAATCGTCGGAGAATTCTTTCGAGCAGGAACTAGTTGATGGGGTTATCACATGTGCTCTAGTGCAACATGTGAAAGAAGCGACAAGGTACGATCCGGACACTGAATCATCCTTATTAGATCTTATACTGACTCACTATGAGGATGGTGTTGCGAACCTCCATCATATGCCACCCTTAGGTAAAAGTGACCACGCAGTATTAACTTTCAACTTCCATATAACTGCCAATCATGAGGACGCGTCAGTCCAGTCCAGATCTAACGTCTGGAAAGCAAACATACCAGACATCATGCACTCAGCATCGTTAATAGATTGGACAATGGACCCAGAGTCCTCCATTGAAACGGTCTGGGACGCATTTCGAAATTCATACTTAAAAGTTACCACACCTCACATACCTTGGACTATACCAAAGGGGCCGAAAAACTCACCACCATGGTTCAGTAGGGAGGTCCGTATCCTTCTCCGTAAGAAAAGGAAAATGTGGGATAGATTTAGGTTACTGGGGACTGATGAGTCAAAATCTCAATATCGAAAGGCTCGGAACACTTGTGCCTCGACCCTCCGTAAGTCTAGAAAATTGTGCGAAGAAAAACTTGTTAAGGAATCCATAGAATGTCCTAAACGCTTGTATTCCTATATAAACCAAAGGACAAGGAGAAAGGGAAATATTCCTGCTCTATGGGGAGACAGTACTGCTACATCATTAGTGGAGGACGACTTTGGTAAGGCTCAAGCGTTCTGGAACTACTTTAGCAACGTGTATACCATAGAAGCGCCCTTCTCGTCAGCGTATACAGATCCCCCCATACATACACTGGATAGCGTGACCATTAAAGAACTCGATGTCTTTGGTCTGCTAAATAAGCTTGTCATAGGTAAATCCACGAATCCCGATGAATTACATCCTAGGCTACTGAAGGAATTATCTAAGTTCGTTGCAAGCCCTTTAAGTACATGCTTTAACCTATCCGTTACGCAGGGTCGCTTACCGAAAAATTGGAAAAACGCCATAGTAAGTCCTGTCTTCAAAACAGGCACGAAACACAGACCTGAGAACTACCGACCCGTTAGCCTAACTAGCGTGGTTGTTAAAATATTAGAAAAGATTGTTCGGAAGGAGCTGTTTAAAAACCGAATCCTCTCGGAGAAGCAGCACGGTTTCAGAATAGGTTATTCTTGTCTCACTAACTTATTAGTGGCTCGTGAAAGCTGGTGCGCTCTTAAGGACCAAAAGCTACCTGTAGACGTCGCCTTCATTGATTTCAGTAAAGCTTTTGATAAAGTTCCGCACAACCGGCTGTTATATAAGTTAAGAAAAGTCGGGATTGGAGGCAAATTATTGATGTGGATAAAAGACTTCTTAGTTGGGCGTCAACAAAGAGTTCGAGTGAACTCAAAGTTATCTAGCTGGGAAACTGTGTTTAGTGGAGTGCCCCAGGGTACAGTTTTGGGGCCAGCGCTATTCCTCTTGTATGTAACTGACCTTCCTTGTCTCCTATCACCATCGGCCTTGCTATATGCTGACGATGTCAAGTATGGAAAACGATACGATGTAAGAGTGATAGCTTAGAACTTCAAAATGACCTGAAGAAGTTATCTGAATAGTCTCAAACATGGCAGCTGCCGATAAATACTTCCAAGTGTGTTGTGATGCATATCGATCATCAAGGCACAGATACATACACGATGAATAACACTGAGCTACCTGTCGTCCAGACATATAATGACTTCGGAGTTATCGTTGGTCAAGACTTAAAGGCTACTGCACACTGCCGTGCAATAGCCGCCAAACGTTTTAGAACGTTATGGTCAATACGTAGGGCTTTTAGTCATGTCGACGCTAAGACGCTTTTGACTTTGTATACAGTGTTCGTTCGTCCTAAACTTGAGTACTGCATACAAGCGGCTAGCTCCTGCTTAAAAAAAGACAGTGAGCTTCTGGAAAAGGTTCAGAGAACGGCGACTAAGCTGGTTCCCGGAATAGCGAAGCTTCCGTATGAATCTCGACTGGCCAAGCTGAACCTTTTCCCGTTGTCATATCGCAGAACTAGAGGCGACTTGATTACAGTCTACAAATTGCTTAGTGATAAATTTGCACCTGATATGCCCTCATTTTTCTTGTCTTCCAGAACAGAGAATTTACGAGGACACTCCAAAAAAGTTCACAAGCCGAGAACAAATTACTTGTCAGCTGACTATCGACTTTCCCATCGAATCATCAACGAGTGGAATTCACTAGCTCAGTACGTGGTTGAGGCTCCATCCGTCGACTATTTCAAAAGAAAAATGGATCAACTGAGAGACCACCACTGCCAGGACTAACATAGGCCATCGAGCCTCCTGTCCTTCCCAAACTGAAACTGAAACTAAAGTTTGGGTGTTACTGTTGGCGCTATAGTTGCGACTTGCGTTACTATTCAATAGACAGGTTTCCTGATGTCTTTGAAATCTCTTGTTTCTCCTCATTTAAGTGGACCATATCATAAACATAGAAATAATCTCTATAGAAATTAATGTTGGTTAGCTAATACTGGTAGTTTTTGAGACCTTAATATTCAGTCACAGTTTCTGTTCCCAAACTTACATACTTAAACCTTTATAAAGTTAGTGTCCACCTTATAAAATATCGGCCTAAAATCAACAAGATCTGAACACTTCGGACATGCATTTTGACGACATGCTTGTGAACTTGTTTGCCATTTTAAATCCGATTATTCCTGGGTCACTATTCTCTTTGGTTATAGGCAAATCACAACCTGTTTTACCAACAGTTGCTTTGATAGTCATTAAAGAGTCTCAGATATCATTCCAAGCCATCAGCATAGAAAATTTGGTGGTTAGGTGACATTGAATTTCCATATACCATACTCAGACCGTTAATTAGCCTTTAGAAAATGAATTCATGTTGAAATTTGGAATTTTTCGCTACTCAAAAGTACCTACTGACAGACACGAAACTAGTAAAATCTCTCTAAAATATCAGTACAAGACTTCTTGGTCCTTAAAGTCTCTAATATATATTTTTATACTATACTTTTGTGCTGTGTTACAGCTTGTTTTAGCTGTTCCTTCACTACATAAAGGAAATTGTCGTTTAAGTTCTGAGGGTAGGGGTCCAAGATAATATACATCGATTGTCTGCAGATGGGGTTGTTTCTTTGTGTAAGGTTTGCGAACTCCAATGTCAGCCTACTCCTCAATTTTAGTTCCCTACCACATTAATGGTTTTGGGCTTGCTAACTTTCTTTGTTTCTGATTTATTTCTAAAAAAAACAAGAGGAGGTCATATGGAGATTATATCAGGTCGAGCAACAGTGGTACTAAATGGATCATGCCGAAATAGATTTGTTTACGTGTTGTATGTGGATTGAACGGAATAATTTTTTTCAGAACGGGTTTTTTGATACATAAGGGATAATTTAGAGTTTCTCACAACTAGAATCATTACTATCAGACGATCATTGAGAACTTTGTTCGCCTCACTACTTGAAAATGTAAATAGTTAAGCCAACAAACAGTTTAGATTGTAAGCGATATGTGCTTGGTTAGTATGTCGATTTCATAAGACAGTCACTCGTTAAGACTTAAGTTCATCACATCAATTATCTTATATATGTGAGTTAATTAAATAATTGAACTCTAATTGTTTATTTAACAAACATGTAGTATAAGACCAAAAATGGACTTAAGTGACTGGGATGGTTGTTTCCCGAAGTGTAGCCATTTACGACCCTGTTATTTCAATGCATTTCTTGCCTGACTCAGTGGTTTAACATCTACGTACTAACCTTCTTTTACTCCTTTTACCTGTCGTGGAGAAACATAGGCCGCCGACCAGGATTCTCCAACCCATTTTTTCCTGGGCGCCCCTTTCCAGCTGTTACTAAGTATGATTCATTCTTTTGATATCTGCCTCCGATTTCTGGTTCAATGTGTTCTTTAGCGTGCTTCTTTTTCCTTTAGCTTGAATATTGCAAGGTAGGACTGGCTTTGTGATGGAGTTTGATGATTTCCGCAATGTTTGTCCTATCCATTTCAGGTGTCTTTTCCTAATTTTGTGTTCAGATGGAAGCTGGCTTGTTCTCTGCCACAGTAGATTGTTGTTGGTGTTATATCCGGCCGTCGAATCCGGAGTATCTTGCGTACACAATTATTTATAAATACATGTACATTTTTGGTGATGGTTGTAGCTTCATACGGTAGAGCTGTATTGACGTCTCTAGTTTAATAGCATGCATATATGTAGTTAAGAGAATACACAAGGTATTTTGTGTAGTTATGCATACTAGAGTCTTGGTGGTTTTTGGAACTGAAGTTTGGATGAAACATTTGTATATCGAATGCAACTGTGTTGTTGATATGTGTATCGTTCAAATATATCTTTTATGAAGCATGATCTTAACAGTAATGTCATTTTAGTTATTTTCTCAGGACCCAATATGTGCAGTAATTTTTCTTAATAATCCTATCACTATATGTTAAATTTGTTGGCAGTGTACTTTTTCTAGGCTATGATTAGTCAGTTTGACGATTGCCAAGTGATTTAATTTCCTAAAAGAAGTTGCTAGTGGGTAATTGTTACGAAAGCTACTACGTTAGTGTTCTGTGGATTTCTGTTAAAAGGATTGAAACTTAAGCCAAGAATTACAGTTACTGGTTTAGAACAAATGGTGAATTTTTCTCTAAATCTATTACAAGCTTTTAAATTCACTGATAATGATATTCCCTAACCCAACGTCTATGGGAAAATTTATGTTGATACCTTCATGCTAATCACAGTATTATCCATTTATTTTTTTTATCAGAATTCCATAAATGTTTCTACTGTATATTATTGAAACTATTCATATTTGATGGTACTCTGTAGATCCAGTTTTATTTCAAGGTATATGTGTAGCACTCAATATACTTTGAAAGTATAGAAGTAACTACCAACCTAATGTACATTTTTGTCTCTATAGTATGCACTTCCAGTTTCTTCACTTTATTTCATCAGTCAGTCAGTAACAACGTAGAACATCGTACGTACGTACATCAGTTCGAGTTGCCACACTACATTAGCACAGAGATGCAGTGGTCGATTAAAATCCCGTAGTTCTAGATGTAGTAAAATTATAAGCTGTAATCAGAAAAATTAGGGTTTGAAGATGTTATTCAAGGAGTATAATCCACTGAAATAGATTTGGGAAGAGGAAGAAGAAAGGGACATGAAGAATTCAGAAGATTAGAATTTGGGAGAACACAACGATTTTGAGCCATGTCATTCAGGGTCTCTAACAAATATAGTGTCTAAAATATTAGCTTCAATAATACTTCGACGCCTAACCAAAGCTCGTGAAGAACAGACTTTATTTCATGCTATTTGATCACTCTTATATGCTTCATTGATGTACCTTAACCTTTTCAAGAGATACGTTTTTGCTCGATTTTGTAAAAATTTGGTATATTGTTTTCGTTTTAACGTTAGATCTAATCCCCGTAGACATTCAGATGGAATGCTTCGGGTCTGTCTATCATATATGTTCATAAATGGGATCAAGCTTTTCGAGTCTGAACAAGTCTTGGGGATGCACAAGTTTTGGAACTTCTGGTAACAGAAGTAATCGAAAGGAATTGAGTGGGTTCTGCCACTGTCCTAAAAATTGTCCATCTAGCTATGTGCTACCTAGCGCTTTACAAACGAAAACTAATTCACTGCCAATTGATGAATTTTCGTCTTCTATCATAACAAGCCCAACTGTGATTAGTACATACAGTTGTACATGTAAAAACTCTTTAGCACATCATCAAATAAACTCTAATACACGTGCTTCTAGTGTAGACAGTAATCAATTATGTGGTGTTAATTCTGAAGCATTTATACCTACAGATTCAAATATTTCCACCAGAGTTTCGATTCCAAATTCTGATTTTAATCAAGAACAACTCTACAACGGTCAAACACAATGTATTAGTAGTGTTGAAAAGTCCGTTGACATTGATACAATTAAAAAAGACTGTATATTTACAGATCCTTTAATATTGACTGATTGTGCAATTGAGCAGTTCCGAAACCTTATATCTTCTTGGTCATGTAATGATTTATGTTGTCTTTACTTGGAATATGAAGCAGTATATGAGCTCCAACTTTTATGGAAAGAAGCAATTAAAACTCGATTGAGAGCTCCTACTCTTAAGGTAAGTGTTTTTGTCGTATAACGTATTTGTCTCGTGTATTAGTTCTACTTTACTTTTATTGAGTAGGTTAAATTGTCAAGTTGTCATTACTGGTGTTCATGGCTGAGGAATGCTAAAACTAGACTCCGGACACTTGGTAATAATGTTAGAGTGGTTGATAAGGTAATGAATCTTCATCACCTAAGGTAGTTGGGATGTGTATTACTTATGCTCGATCACTACCTACCTCGACATATGTTGGGTGGTGTGCGGCTTGCGTGGTAGAAATTTGGGAGCAACCAGACCCAGATATAGAATCAGTTCATGAGGTAGCTGACTGTTGAACTAAACCGAGTTTTTAGGTGCAGGCTATCTGGTTGGGATCCACGCGATTATCGTAGCCAGTGGTTGGTAACTTTGGGTGATATAGGTCGGAATCTGTCTCAGTGGTGCAGATGCTTCCACTCTTTGTCTTCCATTAGATATTAAGTTTTAAAATTATTTTTTGCCCTTTTATTTCTCGAAACTATTCTTTCTCCCGAATCATATTATCTATGTGTAATCTCTTTTGCCACGACTGATAGTTACTACTTCTACTATGCTGACATTTGTTGCGATAATTTCACCTCATTGTGCTGATATGGTATAAAGTGATACAGGTCCTACGTTATTTATGGTTGGTTATGATCAAATTTACGGGGGAGGAAACTTACTTTACGTCTGTATACTCAGAAAAGACCTTATATCTGAGAATGGTCGGACATTTTTGGTTATATATAAACTGGATAAGAAAAAATCGTTCTGTGAGAAAAGTATATTTTTATCTGGCCAGTTTATATTAAATTGGTGAAACTTTATTACAACTCCTGTTCAGTGTCATAACTGATACATGTTTAAATTAAATCTTTTTATTTAGCACGAATCGATATTTTGATATGAATTAAACTATTCCACTGCTTTATTTGGCTAAAAGTATTCGAAACAACCCTATATATAATAGTATATTCTTAAGCAGTTCTTTTAATTGTAATGACTACTTATGACGTGTTTTAACATGTATCGATCTATCGTATAGGATGTTGTATTGCACTTTATTTCCATAACCTGTATTCCATTTATGTATTTGAACACATAAATATCGGTACAAGGGGGTATCAGATACATATGCCCCACACAATAATAATGAGAATAGGAAGGGATAAAGAATGTAAGGTGCGTATAAGAAGAAAGAAAGAAAGAACAATAACGACCACAAATTTGTGTATGGTAATGAAATAATAATAATAACAATAATAATAATAATAATAATAATAATAATAATAATAATAATAATAATAATAATAATGGGGAAAAGATAAAGGTACAACCAGAAAGAATTTTTTCAGTTAAGCAGGATACAACCATTTTTTTATGAAGAAAGTAAAAGAAGGTTACAGCAGGATCGCCAATGGCTTCTATTCTGATTCATATCTGATGATGCCTCTAGCCACTGTGTCGCACCATCTCTCGGACCCCAGTCAGGGATTCGTGAAGGACCAATACAGGCCAATCCTTTGCAGCTTTCTTTCATGCCACGACACCATGTCATACACTGACCACCTCTCCGCTTTTTCCAACCAGCCCTAGAGTCGGCAAATAATGCCCGATGTGGAATTCTCTGGGACGACATTCGTAGAACATATCCAAGCCACCGAAGTCCGTGTTTCAAGTTGGTGACACCAATTGCATTATCATCTCTGTGCCCGAACACACGATGCCTAACCTGTGCATTACTAACATGGTGTTGCCACTGGATGTCAGCAATCCTTCGGAGACAGCGATGATCGAGCACAGAGAGTCGTCTAACATCCTCAACTCGGAGAGGCCAGGTTTCACAAGCATAGAGCAAAATTGCTCTCACCGACGCGTTGTAGATCCGACCTTTTACAGCCAGACTAACGTCACAAAGACGCCAAAGATGTTTCAGATTGGCATAAGCTGCTCTGGCTTTCATTGTACGTGCATTGATCTCATCACTCACACCCCCACCAGCACTTATGCAGCTACCTAAATACACGAACTTCTCGACTACTTCTATCTGTTCACCATCCAGGGTGAGTACAGGATAAGAATCTTACCAGTCTTGTAGAAGTACTTTGCACTTCGAAGGTGCAAAGCACATACCGTACCTACGGACACTGGTTGCCAACTGATCAAGTGTGGATTGCATGCCTTGGGCATTATCGCACAGTAAGACAATATCTTCCGCATACTCAAGGTCGAGAAGTCTTTCTCCAGGCAACAGACCCACACCACCATTACTTACATCCATCAGAGGTGTTTTCAGAATGTCATCGATGGCAAAGTTGAAGAGGAATGGTGAGATTGGGCAACCCTGTCTGACCCCACTGCTCGAATGGAACAATGGAGAAAGGTGGTTGTATGCCCTCATTCTGTCTGAGGTGTTTGTATATAGGGCCTTTAAGATGTTAATGAACTTCTCAGGCACACCCTAATTCAATAGACAATCCCAGAGAACAGTCCTATACAACGAATCGAAGGCAGCCCTGATGTCAAGAAACACTACGATTGTTGGCCATTGATAAGTATGGCGATGTTCTAACTTTTGGCGGAGGGTGAAGATATGATCAATACATCCTTGATCAGAACGAAAACCAGTCTGTTCTTCGCGAGTCAATCTTTCTTGGGTTTTGAACAACCTACGAATATGACAGAAACCAATAGCTTGGATGCAATCGGAAGTAGACCTTTCCCCCGATAGTTGTTACAGGAACGACGTGAACCGTTCTTAAAGATAGGGACAACTATCGACTCATTCCATGACGTTGGTACACTCTCTAGCTCCCAAACCGTTGTAAACAACGTAGTCAGTTCTTTAACCAGAAAGTCACCATCATGGTGGAGAAGATTTGTAGCTCAGGTGGATAACGCGACGGTGTTTGGAGTGAACGGTACTTGTTCGAGTCCCAGAGTGAACATCAACTCTGAGATACAGGTACATCCAGCTGACGAGTCCCGAGTAGGACGAAACACGCGTCCTAGATTCCACTACTAGCCACTATCCATCATTGCTTATAATGTCGTTTTCTTTGTTTGAGTTGTTTTGTATCTCGTTTGATCAACACAATTTAGAAATTACAATAATGGCGTAACTATACTATGAGTGGGAGAGAACAGAATAATAGATCTGTAATAAATTTAACAGTAACTTAAGAAATGTACAGCATTTAGCAATAGTTTATGCATCACGAGAATGCGTACAAGAAGGGGAATACAAAAGCACAATAGTTTAAATATTTAATAATTAGAGAGAGAAAATATAGAAGCAATAATTTCATATAGGACTGTTCCAAAAGTTCAACTTTTTTAATGCTCGTCCCGTCATAATAGTGCTCCATATGTTTATTTCTTTTCTATTATGTAATCTAGGCATTTGATTCTTAATAATAATAAGACCATAAGATTATTAGCAATAGCTAATATTATCAATATAACCAATCTATAAATATTTTAATAAGTCCCATTCATTATTTGACATTTCTAGTTGATTTTCAATATAGTATATTTCAAAATTAAGTTCGTTTATCTCTGTTTTTCTTTCTTAATTATCCCACTTTCAGGATGATCTCTGGTCTTTAGCTCAACATGGTTGGTGTTCTAATACGTACCTTATTCGCAATGGCTCTACTCATGAGGCTCATTCGTATTTACTAGCCTCACGGTTAAGAAATTTCGATGAATTGCTCACTTCATTGAATCGTGGGAAATTTCATAGATGTCCAAACAAGTCGACAACTGATCGTACTAATATAATGAGTATCACTTCTACCATTTCTTCTACCAGTACCATCACTAATGCTAGTACTACTATCCTGACTAATAAAGCTTCAATTAATTCACTTCCTACATCCGACAGACTTGGTGATCAGTCATCCGATTTTCAGTTTGAAAAATGTCCTGATTTATTATCCAGTTCACGTTTAAAACTACAAGATACTTCATATAAAATGAATAATGAAACTCATCAGCAACAACATCATCATGATCCGAGAAAATTACCTAGTGTTAGTATTCTCGATCCTAATAATTTAAAAATTAACACCCATGATGTTTCAAATTCATCTAAAATGTTTCTAACCAATTTTCTATGTCAGTTATACGCGGGAAATGATCCACAGCAATTACTTTCTAAACCGGATCTATTATACCAACCAGAAAATAATGATAAAACAAAAAATACATGTAACACTAGTAGTAATTTATCGAAATTATATAATTTTCTAAAATATTCACATCAACATAAATGCTTACTATCTAATGACTGTGAATTAATCTTCACATGTCCACCTATACTCAACTTAACATCGATTACATTGCCATGTCATGCAGGCATATTAGCTTGTCGTTCACAATTTCTACGTCGTATTTTATTAAAGCGTTGTAAATCCAACACACTCTCTCTCGCTACTAATACTACTATTACCACTACGAGTAATACTCAAAATTCTACACATAAAATAATTTTAGATGGTAAAATTATACCAGGACATTTTGCTACTGTGATTTTACACTTTTTCTACTGTGATTATCTTAATTTAAATGAAATATCAAATTTATTATTAGTTTTTAATCAACAGACATTATTAAATAAATTACATTTTAATTGGCACACTGAACATAGTCAGTTGAATAAGACTACTACTGCTAATAATAATTATAATGACAATTATATGTGTTGTAAGTCATCTGTTGAAGAGGATCACTTGTCATCAACAACAATACCAGCATCCAAATGTACACATGCATATTCTTCAAGTCATTGTACAGCATCTGATTCAGGATCATTTTTCACATTAATTCAGTTTTTAATGAATACCTCCGAATTTAATGTGAAACAATTTTGTCTAAGGTGTCCATTTTGTCTAACGCATTTAATTCAACTTTATCCGGTCGGAGCGATTTTAGAATTTCATAAACTTTCAGAAGGTAATCATACTGCTATTACTACTATTAATAATAATAGTAATAATGATAATAATGTTAATGCTGTTGTTGCGATTGAAATGATGTGTAACTCAATAAATATTTAAGTATCGAGATTTTAGTCATACTTTATATATATGTGAGATAAGGGCTTAAATAAAATAGGTTAGGATGAGTTCGAACATGTTACCTGCTGGTTGAAAGTTGACCACACTCTAAGCCAGCACTCCTCCATACTGTTACTACTGATGATATAGGGATTTTCTTCTTTTTAATAAACATTAAATAGTAGTTTCGGAGTTTTTCTAACTAATTTTGAAGAAACAGTTTTCGTCAGGAATAAGCTACTATTCTGTTATAGTTTACGTTTGTTGAAAGGATTTGAACCTACTTTTTTCAGGTTTCAAGGTAAATACATTTATCAGGTATAAGACAGGTATTATAAACAGCTATAAATGGTGTTCAGGCAATATTATGTAATTGGTCGAAGTTGGCAATATAAATCATTGAATGATCAAATCAGTATGATATAAAGATAATGGCTGGTCACGAAGATTAAAAATCTTGGGTTCTATCCATAATCAAGACCGTGGATGTACACTGCTCAGAAATTTCGTGTTAGAGCAAAACAACTGTTCGGTATCCCCATTGGTTTTCAATGAGTCGGTGGATATTGAGGATTCACCTAGGAGAGTTGGAAAACCCTGACTGCATCTCCTGACGTTTCTCCACTGCTTTGTGGACCAGACCTTTAGGTCGAAGGCTCCGGGCGTGGCCCCCTAAGAAAATCACTTGCTTCAGTCTGGGCACCCGGGCAGTATCACAGCCCACATATAAATCAAGTGACTTGTGTGGCGCATATGTATTCGGTATCCCTTTGTACCAATATTTATATGTTCAAATAAATAAATAAATCAGGATAGTTGCGGTATTGAGACTTGTATATAGTAGTAATCAATGATTGAAGGTTGGGTGCATGAGCTACGGTCTATCATAGTATTACGATTGTATTTATTGTTTATCTGCCTCTTAAATCTCAGTTAATTGTCGTTCCTATGATTAATTTCACTATAGTATTCGTTCTACTTCATTATATAATGCTTAGTCATTAACATACTTTCATTAGTTACACTTTAATTAGTGCGGTTAGAAAACCGAAAGGTCAAAATTCAATAGTTAATTGCCACGGTTTGGAAATAAGTTGTAAAGTTATCGATTTTTTCAGTAGCAGGTTTTCGAGATAAACAACCACATCATTCTAGAGATCAGATTTTAATAACTGGGAATCTTAACAAAAATAATGCACAAGTTTTTGTATCAACGACGACAAAAATTTTACTTACATATGTATCTTTGGAGATGTTAAATATAAGATGCGTTGATTTATCACCGAGTATTAGCCAATGCTACGTTTATCTACTCGTTAGTGCTGATTAAATGATGTCGATTTAAATCTATCAGGGTGCCTACTGATTACCTTCAACCACATAACACTAAAATATGATGCAGACGATGTAGATTCACTCTGATTAGTGGTCACATCTCAGCTTGGTTGATAAAATTTGATCACCATCAAAAAGTATTAGACAAACATGAAGTTGGTTACTTTTCAGTGATTAGTCAATTTAATTATTTCGGTCCTACAAGACATGTAGACTGAATAACTTAGTGGTAACAACTCAGACTGCGATACTAGGCGATACAAGTTCGAACCCTATAGAGAAAACCAGTCCCCTCAAGACTGTAGGTATGTCTTGCTGATAATGAGTTCCAACTAGTTCGAAATCTAGGTCCGCGGTTTTCTGTCGACTACCTCCATAAACCTAACAATGTCACGTATAGTATGGTTTAAATTACTCTATTCTTAAATTTTTAGATTTTTGGTCATTTTGAATCACTAAGTTTCTACTTTTATTTTCAATGAATGAGAAATATTTTCCCTTTTTTTTATAAAATAGTATGTGAAGATTTGTTAGCAGAAGCTTTGAGTTTACCATCAATTGGTTTTGAAAACTGTGAAAACAATAACTGGAAAAGTTTGTCTACTACAAAGAGACAACAAGATATTTCTTCTTCTGTGAAAATGAGTTCAATTAGTTTAGCTGTTGGTTTACTAAGATGGATCGATGAAAAATCACCATTTACATCATCATCTTTGCCAGAACCATTTTTGAATACTCAATTTTCACGACGTAATAATAATACTTCAGGCTCTCCAATCGTTAGTCAGCAATCAAAACCCAACGAAGATTCTTCATCTCCTATGGATAATCAATACATTTTCAAATCGAATGATAATAATTCTCATGTTTCTTCTCCTTATAATGGGACATCTCTTGGTTTTGTATATCGTCATGCTATACAATGTTTACGGCAAAATTTCACTTCATTAGTTCGTTCACCATCTATTTTACAACGACTATCACCTCAACAGCTTTATGAATTGCTCGATTCTAGTCTTGTTCAAGTATGTTTTAGTACCTGTATATGGAATCGTATTTTAACTTTTTTATAAAATATCAATCCTCTTTTATTGCATGAAATATTTGTTATAATCAAAATGGTTAAAATATTAGCCCTCAGATATCTGTGACTTGACAGCTAGTATTTATTTCATCTCTAATTGACATTCGTGGAAAAAATGTGTTTGTTGTTTTAAGGCGCAGCTCAAAGATTCGAATTGAAGTGTCAAGCGGAACTTCTCGCCTACTGGATTCCAGTTATAACTCATGTAGCTGGCTCACTAAGTAACAGTTTTGTGTTAGTTGATTAGATATAGCTTGGAGGACACCCTGAACTTGGGTTTTATACTAGATGACACTTTTCGACAAGGCGTACCTGCATTACTGAAGTAACTGACTCTCCTTGTAAGATTTGAAAATATTGAGTCACTTAGAATTGGTCAATAAAATGCGATCAGCACTAAGGACTGGACAAACATGATATTAGTGAGAACTCAGTGACCGATTTATGTAAGTATCTCAGTCTTATAGGATACTTATAACCCCAACACCTCAATTGTAACGTTTCATACTGTTAAACTGGGTGACATGGTGTTGAATCCTACATGAAATGTCAGCTTTCTCAAAACTACAGGGACGTCTTGCTGGCGAGTGCCAACTAGTACGAGAACTAGGTCTAGGGTACCTTGCAGATTACCTCCAATCATCTAATAATTAAACACAATGAATACAATATCGAGTCATTTAGACTGGTGGCTACATTGCACAACTTGATTGATAAACTTGGATTATCACTAGGGTCTAGGCAAGAATGATATTGGTCACTGTTCATTGATCCATCAATGAAAACAGTTTTTTATTTACCGAACTTTAAGCCATACGTTTTGTCCAAGAGCTAGTCGTACTCATCAGCTGCCGATGTTTGAAACCTGTGGCATACTATTTTGAAGTCAAGTACTTGAGCCCCCAAATGCCCTGGTAAGGCCGACAGCGGGAAAAGTCCGTTCTCCCTCTCGAAATACTCTCACATGGCCACGCGTATATAGCCTCTACCAGGGAAGTCCTACTCACTGCCTTCTCGTGGTGGGGGTGTTGGTTACGAAATTGAGAGGACGAAAAGCGAATGTCTGGCGCTTTAACTGGGTTGGTGGACATGGATAGTCGACATAGGGGAGTTGGAAAACCCTCATTCCAAACCAATGGTGCATATGGGCTCCTGCATCTTGAAGGAACAAATGACATATGAACCAATCGTTGGTCACCGGCTACCATGAGACTGCATCTCCTTACAATGCTCCATTGTATTGTGAATCAGACCTTTAGGTCAAAGGCTCCGGTTGTGGCTCTCTAAAAAACCACGTGTTTCGGTTTGGGCACCCGGGCAGTATCACAGCCCACACACTAATCAAATGAGATTTGTATGACGCATATATATTTGGTGCCTCCTTGTACCAATATCTATGTGTTCAAATAAACAAATGATGCCTCCAAGTACTTGAACTGCAAAGACACTACTCCACTGTATAGAGTCAGTCAGCTTTGTAACTGTATCAAAAAGGCGATAAGTAATACATTGGAAATAATAAAAAAACTAGTGTAAAATTGATTATTTTCCCTGGTATTTTGAGCTTTTATCAACTATTTTTATGCGATATACTATCCCTTAATTATTATTAATTAATCATGTACCATCTACTCGGTTCTCTGTGCATGGTTTGATTAAGTGATTAAGGGTAATTTCTTGATTGAGATGCATCGTGATCTGTTACTTCACGTATGTAAACTAATGAGTGTTTGAGATAAAAAAATAATACTGGGTACCTGAAATATGATAGGAGAAGCTTGTCTAAGGGATATGGAAATTATAACCGGGACTCTGATTGGTGAATTTACCGAATGATATCAATCAACGTTTTTTCATTCATAACACAGTGATTATGGCTACACAACACTCAGATCAACATTATCCTTAAACTCTTGATGGAACCCCTCAGCGGTGCCCACCTGTGACCCCGTAACCCAGGTCCTTCGATATCGTGCACGAGCGCCAAAACTCTAGATCACTGAGTCGAGGGGTTCAGTGGTGTACATGTCTATAATAATGCATGACCGTCCTCCATCGTCTTCGGTGGGTACCCTCCTCACACTAGACACGGTCAAAATCTATTGATGATGTCTTTTCACTAGAACTGTGTGTTTTCTTTTTCTTTCTAAATAAAAATAACCTAATCATTGATTAGCACTATGTATAATTATGCTTTTTTGCACACACAAAATGATTATTTAGGCACCTGAATCTGAAATCTTAGCTGGTCTATTATGTTGGGGTGAACTTCAACTCAAACTAAAACAAAAAAATACATGTTTCGGCGTCCAATCTTCAAATGTATACCCTAGTAGAGGTAAGTATCAACTACCTAAAATACTAAATTTTTAACGTTTCCATTTAGTCATTGATAACCTTGTAAGTTAGTATGGTATTATGAAGCTCTTGTCTTTACTATTTCACTGTTGTCTATACCAATGTTAATGATCAATCGGGTTTTGGGAGCTAGTGAAGTTTGTTGTGATCAGGAAATTTTTTTTCTTAAAATTATTAGTCGCGAAATAATATTCAAAAATATTTTTCATCATACACTGATAATCATCCCCAGTCATTTGTTCCAATTTGAAATTTTTTCATCAGCTCCTGTATACCATTTCGGTAGAGAACAAACTTCCAAGTCTTTGAAGTTCTTTTGGTGAACTGAGTAACGTTTAACCGAAATTTCATTAGATGATGAGTAAATATCTGTAATGTTCTTCACCTTCAGTAATTCCTTTATTGAAGTTTTAAGAAGCTAAGGAAATACTGAAAATACCTCGATCAATCAGAGTTCTTTGGAAAGTCCTAGAAGAATTCTAGGAAATGATGGATTCGGGTTTTTATTATTATTATCAGACAGTTATCAAATTTAGTATGTTTTACAACAATTCAAGGTCAAATGTAATACTATAAATGCACTTTTTTCTGTACATAACCCAACTTTACAAATAAATCTTCCATACTTACTGGTTCCTGTTTTATATTCGATGTTCAAGAGTAACAAGTTTCTGGGGACTAAAAATTCAGTGATCTCTAGACATTCAGTTACCAGACGTATCATATGAATACAATAATTTTACCCCTCTTTGCGTTACATCAAACTTTAGTTTGCAATTTATTATTGACGCTTGTAATTCATCTCAATTATTCTATTATGAATATGACGAAACAGAAACTAGTATAAAATTTTTATTGGTTCAAAGTGTAAGGAAAGACGAAGAACGAATGCATCTACGCTATCACCACTGATTCTGAAGCATATCACTCAACTTCTTTGATTGATTGGTTACAACAAACGTGTTGACTCCTACCAGGTAGTCTGCAACTACCAATGCGGTTCAATTCAATCGTCAGTGACTTTATCGACTCATGTTATATATTAAACTGACCATATATATATATATATATATATATATATATATATATATATATATATATATATATATATATATATATATATATATATATATATATATATAAGCCATAATATCGATTTTGATTTATCTATTAAATACACCTCGTGAATCCAATTATTTCCTATTTCTTACTAATAAATTATTTTTGTTTGTTGAATACCCCATTTCTTCAATGTACAATATTTAGATAATGAAACGAATATTCAACCAGATAAAATATTAGATAATGTGTTTATTGAATATCAGTCAATTTTAACATCAATTATTGATAATCCATCTGTTATAAACTGTAGTCTATCCGGTAATGATACATCATCATCAATAACAATTACTGAAGAAAATGATCTTTCCTATTTTAATCATTGGTTATTACTATGTAGTGGTTGGAATAATGTAGAAAGCAGTATGAAAAGGCCAACATCAAATATTGATTGTGCATTACGTTTACCATCTTGTCATTTATGTCATGGTACTTCTACTTCTACCACTACTACTACTACCACCACGAATAATAATGCTAACAATAAGTCTGTTTCAAGTCAGTCTTTTACTCCCAATCATAATTTTGATAAAATGGTAACATATACACAATTAATTGACTTAGTATCAATTGTAAATGTATTAAATGAATACAATTTATTGGATTGTATTCGACCAGCTCATCTACTTAGTCCTATGCCTAACGAATTAGCAAGTGTTCTACTACGTTATTACTGTGATAACTACCAACATCTTAATGCACATAATTCATCTACTGTTGTTGTTTTAAATTCCGTGAAAACTCTTCATAATTTTGGCTGTTGTCAAAGTAACGATTTCTTCAATTCACCATGGAATTCACTTATTCAATTGATAAAGTCTTCCCAATCTATTTGTTCAGAGAGACAAGTAGGTCAAAAAGAGATTATTATTCACTTGTATTCCATTAACGATTGTTGATTATTTAATTTCAATTAATGATGTAGACCATGTTTAAATTAATAGTACATTGAATATGTTTTATCTGAAACTTGTCAACTGGATGTATCTGTTATATTCCAGTATTAATATTCATACTAAGATTTTAACTTAGTTCTCATCGCTTCAAACGATAGCATATTACCCAGTAAACTACTGAGTTCAGATAGTCACTTTCTTGTTCAACGAATATGAAGGACATGTAGTTTCCCATTGTTGACTACTCCGTAATATGAACAATCAGAAATTTTAAACCCTTATAGCAATCATGTTTAAATTAATTATCGCTTAGTGATAGTATCTGTATAAGTAGTGTATATTTATTATGAAAAAGAGAAATGATCAACATTCATAGCACTTAATTCATTCAACGTTCAGTAACCTTTGGAATTCATGGCATAACAACAGGGTTATTCCTAATGTGAATTTTAATTACATTCATTTCATCTTAATTTAAATTTATTACCCTTTTTTATTCGTTCATTTGAAAGACTTAGTGCTATATTTCTAATGTACATAATACTTTCAGTATATGCACAAACTGAACTATTATAGTTTTTGATGAAACATGAAGAAAACCCTAGAGATTTATGCAGAGTCAAAAGTAATTTATAGAGAGAATGCATTAAAACGTCACAGTAAGAGAAGTGAATACCGCGAGAATGATAAATCATCCAGGACGACTGTCTGTCTACTGAGTTGATGAAAATACTAAACCCGTACAGTTTCTTGTACTTCCTAATAGTTTATTGCTTAGATAAATGTTAAATTTAAGAAAATCATGTATATATACATTTGATCATAACAAACATTCAAAGATGTGACAGCTGGAGAAACAGAGTTCTGAAAGCTTTCAGTAAAGATGAGAAAAGTATGATTACAAATAAAGAGAATATTTCCAGAGATAAAATTGATCGACACTTAATTTTGTGAAATGTGTTATGACATCAATTTGCGTATTTTCTTAACAGAGTATATCCAATCATCATATCAACTATTTTTCAGTTATACATTCTGCGATTATATATATAGAAATGTAAGCCTATAATCTCATCTTATTTTTCGGTATTTTGAAAACAAGCTTTTTCTAAAAATATATTTTAGTTCACTTTTGAAAAAGTTTTATCCAATCCTTGGAGTAGTCTGTCACCTGCACAATTTTCAGAAAAATACCATTGGGCTAGCCTTTTATTCACTGATGATAATGATGGTCTATCAGCCGGTCATAAACTTAATTCCACTAATATTAATATTGATGATGACTGCGTTTGTTGTTGGAATAAACAACATCTTATAGAGAATCCATCAATGATCACCGCTAATGGAGCTTCTGTTGTTCGGAAATCATGGTCGGATAATTCTAATGTATGGTTAAATTATACAAATCGAATGAAATCACAGTTGAAATTTCTGCATCTTCCACCTAGATTATATTATCCATTTTTAAATGAAGTTCGAGTAAGTTGTGTCTGGAAAATTTTTCGCTTGGTTGATAATATTCACTTATGAAATTTACAGAAAGAAAAACTAACTCATCATCTGCATTAAATTTTGAAATCATAGAAAAATGATAAAGATATCTTTGTCTAAAGATTACTGTTTCATAGTGCATTAAAACTAGATTTTCAACGATTACATTGCATGTTCAATCCGTAGTCTGCCTACTTCTCTTCTAGCTGCCAAGTAGTAGCATTATTATTAGTCTCATTCTATTTAAATAATTTTACTTGGTTAATAATCATTTATGTTAGAGAGGTTTTACAGAAATTGGTTTGATTTGTAGGTTTCGTTTGTCACAGACAGGGTATGATTGAAACCATATAGGATCGAGGACTTAATTCAGGTGGTTTCTGAAGCTTAAGTGAGAAGTCGTGGTTTGGTGGAGCTTAGAGATATTGGGAATAAAACACTTCCCACTAATGTCATTGTATGACCATTACACCATATCAAATTAATTGACGTTAAAATTGTACCAATGAACACCGACCCAGTTGTTCTAATGGGTGAGCATTCGCCTACAGATCTAAAGGTACTAGGCTCAACTTCTGATGGGTTATGGATAGAAACTGTTGAGGAGTTCCATACTAGAATAAAACAGTTTACCAGTGCTCTCTGGTTTGTAATGTTATGTTAACTGAGTTCAACCTGTGACAAATGCAGCCTACACACCGATTACGTAATCACCAGGGTTTCTAATTAATCATTCTGTAGAACCTTACGCAAGCTCTGAAATATTTAAAATACGGTTTAACCAGTCAGATCTTTTTCTGGTAAATTTCGGAAGCTAACGTATTTACGTTAGCTTTGAATCTAATTATTTAATTAAACATTACTGGTCTTGGCACTTTTTTAAGGTTTTGAAACCTCATCGTTGTATATGGCCATATAAGTGTAAAGCTTTTTTTCCTTTCCTTACCAGAACTAAACTTAGAGTAACGTTTCAACCGGTATTACTACCTTTTGATTCGTTCAACATTATCAAGAGTTGTCTAAGGATGTGATCATAAGAACTTGAAATTTCGATCATTGATTTTAAGACATAATGAGTGATGAAAAAATGTTGCTTAAGTATCAATAGGTTTATTTGCTCTGATTTGATTTCACACAACTCGGCTGCTCAAGCTGAAGCAGTCGAAATTGCGTTCGAACCCTGTGAACTATTGGCTAGATATTTTAACCACTATGGCATCACCCTGCGTAACATCGTTTGCTCAAACACTCAAGTGCTTTTTAACAAACGTTATAATCTATGGCAAAGCTAAATACTGACAAAATCCAACAGAAACACCGTGATTACTAGCATATTTTCCTCTTTATATATCCTTTGAAAAAAGGTGGCGAATACACTAGAATTCGTCCACCTTATATATGACTTATGGAAAAAAGACAGTTGACGCAGCTGAACTGATAGGAAACCTTCACGATTGGAGCCAGTTGGCATATATTAACCAACAGAAAGATGTTTTATAGAATAGATGGAGTGTGGGACTATTTGTAAAACCCAGGATGGAGATATTGTCCTCTTTAGTTCTCGTCAGTTGTATTTACCTGCATTTCAATGTTAGTATTCATACTGGGACTCCAACCCGAATGCCTTCTGCTTCAAGCACCCAGTGAATCTAAATAACTACTAGTTTGTGCAATGATTATGAATTCTAATTTAATTTGTAATGACGTGAATTATTTCGCTCTTGATGTTCTTTACTGAGTTTTTTGCAGCCTCGGTTGGCGTATGTGTATCTTGTGCGGATTGTCTCGATATGACCCTTTTGTCACAAGTTTTTATAAAGAACAGATAAGGTATGGCTAACAATCTAAATTATGACATCGAGTGGCGTTTGAAATGAAAGTTACTAGCCTTGAATCCTTGTGTGAACATCAACATTGGATTACATGCACATCTAACTAACGAGCCAGATATAAGAAGAGTTATACGTCCTTTATTTTATCACTAATCATAATCCATTCGTTTTAAAATAAACTTAAAATCAAATATTTGTATCAAGATAATCATCATAGGATTCACATATAGCAACAAGGAGTAATCAGAGTTCAGTCTTGAATATTAACAATGGGATAATTTAAACATTAACTAATAATAATATATAATTTACAATATTGAATAAGGCTATAAGAACTTTCGTCTAAATTTGAAAGAATAGTTCCATAGTATTTGAGCGTCGAATTAATGTAAGACAGTATGGAGGAATAATATATTTATAAATTTTCAGCGATTAAATTTTAAGTTATTGTTATTGCGCAATTATTCTCCATGTTGATATTATTCAAATTTTCTATTTTCTCTTCTGTTTTTATTAAGATGCTTTTTATTCAAAAGCATGCTGTACATCATCAAAGGTTACATATAATGAACAATAATAATAATGCTGATAATTTCCATTCACAATCTCAATCTTCCGAGTGTACATGTTGGGAGTTTTTATTATCGCGTAAATTTGATCAGTCATGTAATTTAACAAATTTCTCACCGAATACAACTAAACGCATTCATCAATCATCTTTTAATAAATATCATAATAAATCTTTTAATTTAAATCATCAACAGCCATATACTACTGATATCATTAAAGATTATTCACAAGATTTCACATCAGAATGTGATTTAAGCTTTCCAGATTTGGCTAAAAAACGTTTTGGTTCAAAATCAATTGAAAATAATGATCCTAATAATGTTAATAGTCACTTTTTCATGAATAAAAAGTTTACAATATGTTGTGATTATAAATGTCGTGACTTTGCTTATTGTTTACTACCGTCAAGTCAATGGACTAGTATTATCGATTATTACATGAGATTAGTTCGTGAGTTCATGGTAAGTGGTATTGTTAGTGGTGTTGATAAAAATGATTTTTTCTGTACATTATTTGCTTTTATAAGTGATTAGTCACTGTCTAGTGGTAAATGTAATGTATGTCAATTGCTTCTTAGTGTTGGTCGAATTCTGTCAATCAATTTGCACCTATTACTACTAGTCTTTGTGACTCGATATCTCGTACACTATGCTGAGATGTAAGGTAGATATTTAGGGTAGTCAACAGGAAACCCTGGACCTAAACTTCCTGTTATTCGGCACTCGTCATCAAGGTGTACCCGTAATCTTGAAAGAACTTATACCCCCTGGGGGATTCGACCCGGTGTCACCCAAGTCCATGGTCAGAGACGTTACTGCATGACAGCTTGATCGACAGAATTCGATCAGCACTAAAAAGGGTTTGATATACATGACATTGGTAATTACTCAGTGATCAATTGATTGTAAATACGGATCAACCATACAGGAGGTCAGTCGTGGTCTGGATGTCTCAGTCGTAGTGTCTGTGACTGAAGTTGGGTAACACGGGACTGAATTCTCTAAGTCCATCAATCCCTTTAATATCTCAGGTACACTTTACTTACGAGTGCCGAATAGCATGAAAACTAGGTTCAGGGTTTCTTGTTGATTATCGCCAAACACCAGCATCTTACATTATTTGTTTTCTCTGTACGGTTCTTGTTTTGCTTCTCAGCAATAATTAAATAGTGAAATTTTTAGTAGAAAGTTTACATCATGAACTGATCATCGCTATACAAACCATTGAAAATCTGGCAAGGGACTTCTCAGTGGTGCACATCCGTGACCCCACCAGGATCCGAACCCAGTACCTCGGGTCTCGCGATAATTGCCTGACGTTTAGATCACTGTGTTGGTACTCACTGCTTTACGCGTCTAACTTTAGTCGATTCTCAATACTGCGCAACTATCCTCCAGTGGCAGAGGTAGGTAAGTGCTTCAAACTCAACATGGTTTATTTCAGCTATTGAAAATAGGTTGTTCAAAGGACATATATATAAATTAAAGTAACATATGGCATTATTTATTTAGTTTAATAAGTTAATCATTTAGTCTCGATGCTTTGATTTCACCATATTTTCCCATTCTTTTTAATAATTTCTCTTTCGTCTTAAAAATGAATTTCCAATTATATGTATAGTGTTTGCATATTAGTTTCGCTTCTATATTCTACCATCTGTCATTTCATTGTATAAAAACTAATTTGATAGAAATAGTTATTAGAAATAGAGGATAGGGATATAATAATCAGTTCAATAAATATCACCTTGTTTTTCTTTTCCTGTTAGTTTTTATTCAATCCTGTGAAACTGAAGCCTCCATTCCCCATCGATTGATTTCCGACAAATCGATACTTCGAAAAAAAAACATTGGTCTCATCCATTTCAAAATACTTTATGTTTGTGATTAAATACTTGTGTCTTCAGTGAAACTCTTCAAAAGTCAATCTCTTAAACTTCTTTATCATCTCATGTTTTGCTAGAGTCATGTGTACATGCGATTTCTATGGATTTTACTGATCAAAACTCATACAGACAATAGATAAGCCACTGAAGAGTGCAAGAAACTTTAGATTTAGTATTTTCATTAGTACTGTATATGGACAGTGATCCTGGTGTTGTATCATTCTTGCGATCTCCACGAGGTTCACTAAAGTGCTTGATTCGCTTCATTGCATTACTTCCGTAGGTACTTTCTCGATGATAGACTTTATTAATTCACGGCTATAAAGAACAAACTTCGAAGTTAAAAAGTTTACATTGGTTACTGTCATTCTATTGTGTATGTCTTCAAAACGATGCTAGGATATAGTGGGACCACTGAATGTATCTTAATGAAGTTAAAACTATATTACTAGATAGAAATGGCAAATCAGTTAATAAAACTGTAGATCTTTATTGACTGAGTTAGTCCAGATGTGTTTCACATACTCAACCATCACTAGTGTAAGTTTTAAAATAGCTCAAGATGATCATTTTAAGATAAAACATTAGCGTTCATCAAGTCATTGTATCGAAAGGTACGGATTCATTATTAGAGGTTCGAAAAATAATCGTATTCAGCCCAAAGTTAGTAACAACAATTTCAAAGCCCGCTTCAATGAGGGGGGGGTCTAGTAGTTATATTAGAATGTAGCTCAGTGTTGTGAGGGGTGGTGTCCAAAGTTTGATAATGGTACACGATGCGCCACGCGTTACCTTCTAAACTGACTACTTGGGCAAGAAAGTGTATTGGACTATTGAATAAAATGTACAAATGCTCATTCATATATATACCACTTTAATCCTTAGGCAATCGATCCATTTCTTAGCCAGTGAAATGCGCTTGTCCTTTAGGTCACTTCTGATTAGTCTTACTAGAATACTTCCAATTAGCTTTCTGTATCACAAAACCACGCAGATAAATCTGTATATAGTAAATGAGTTAATAACAAAATTCAATTTTTAGGCTATCACATTTCTAAACAATAGAAAAAGATGGGAGTGATCAATGAAAATACGTTTCGAACTACAAAATGATAAAATATTCAAATTATGGAGTTAGATTTATGAAAAATAAATTAATAAATTCACTTATTTAAGAATAATAGTATTTCGACCGTACAATCAAGGATCATCATTACTGAACGCTATAAAAACTGCGATTCAAGTGGTCCCCTCGTGAATGTTTTACATTTTGATATATCTAATAAGATTAACTTAATTTTCGTTATTACTCATAAAATTACTTGATATATTTATCTATGCTTACAAATTACACATTTAATGAGCGATTCCCACACTTTTATTACGCCCATGTATATTGTATATATTGTCATCAGAACATGTACTTATTAAATTGGTCCTTATGCCAACTAACGTATAGTTCAACATTACTCTGTCGCAATGATACATAGTCGATGAAGTATGGGCGTAAATCATTGATCAAATCCACATCTAAATCTCCGTTCACTAATTTTAATGTTGAGAGTTGGTTGATGAGCCCCGAATAGGACGAAATTTTTAGCTCGTAGATTGGATCTCCTAATCATATATGTAGCTTGATGGTTACGTCTGTAACTGTAACGCATAGTTTATATCGTGCTTCACGCGTTAGTTCTCTCATTAATACAAATTTGCCTCGTTGACAAGTGCTAACTAGCTTGAAACTAAAGTCTGGAACTGTCTATCCATTACCATCGACCACATAGCACTAACTATAAGTTGCAAAAATATGAGTGTGGCTAGCAGCGTGATCCAAGACGCGCGTTTCCTCCTATTTATAACTGTTCAACAGGATACCAATAGAAACTAATCGAAATTCAGTCATGAATATCGACGACGAAATAATTCAAAGTTTTACTAATAATAACGATCCAATCAAGTATAAATAATCACTATTATATGTCGTTATTATTTTTCTGCCAATATTTTTCAGGATGATCCCATAAGTCATCATCCATGTACAAACAACAAATATATTCATCATATTCTACGTTTACGCTCCTTATGGAAATATGGTTTACCGGATTCATTGGAAAGCTTACTTGTTTGTAGAATTAATGAGTATATGTTTATGTTACAACAACCACCACCCTCAACGAAACAATGTTACATAACAGACTGTTGCAATCCTATGAAAAATATCAACACATTGATAATCAAAAACAATAATTCATTTGTTTCAACAACAACTACTACTACTACTTCAACAGCCTCATCATCGTCATCCACATCTGTATGTAGTTGTAGTCTACCAGTTATGAATATGACTTATTGTGAACACCATACTACGCAACGTTGTACATTTAATCCTAGTGATATTGGTTGGAAATCAACAGAAATCACCGGTGGATCCACGACCATTACAACCACAACTACATCTCAATCATTATATTCATTGTCTTCTAATAATTTACATAACAGTGGTGGTATTAGAAATAATACTATCAATAAATTGACCAGAAATTCAAATCATCATTACGATCATCATTTAGTATCGTTAAGTAAAGCATCACAGTCATGTTCAATTTGTGATGATCAGGTAAATAGGGTTGTTTTTATGTATTGTTTAAAATAACAGCCTAGGATTTAAAGCGATAAATACTAAGAAAATCGAGTTTCACTGTTATCTATCAACATTAAAATGTAGACGGATGTCCAGTTGGCGAGAAACCGCTAATAAAAGTAAAATCGGTATTCCGGATTTCACTGTTAATCCTTAGTCGATTACCGCTCGAGTTTTTTCCGTCTAACTATCTTTCTTATTAAGAGGAAAAATGTATTTATAAAATCTCAGCGAATGAATTCGAAGTAAATCTAACGTTTCGCCTGGCGATCTGGTCTAAGCTTTTCCAAGTAAATATAATCAAACATCAAAATTATCGAATATAAATAGGTACATGGTCCTCTTGTTAACTGAATACTAAATGGGTTATACAGCCAACATTAACAATGTTTAAAGTAGGTATTTGCTTTACTGTGTAAGAGACATGTGGTTTAAAACGAAAATTATTAAGATAACAGATTGCGTCTATACGTAAGTGGTGTGAGAAGAAACTTCATTCACTATGTCTCTGATCGATGAATTTTTAAGAAAACACACCATTTTTATGTATGATATGAATCGAATATGTTGGATTTACTTTAAATTTATTCGCCGAGATTTTACAAATACATTCCCTTTAATGTCTCATATCACCTCGACGCCCAAATACTGTGAAACTATTTGATCAAATTTAGACGACATTTTTTATATATGGCTTTTTTGTTTTTCATTAATTTAATAACTTGTGATGGGATTTGCAGGAGAGAGGGGCAGTGAGATATAACTATAGGGAGAGTTGAAACACCAGAAGAGAAAAAATCATGGAAAAAGTGTTTGCAGACATAATCTTTATCATTGACATTCTGTCAGTCAGCAACGTAAAACCTGATACTTATGTACATCGGTTCCAGCTTGCAAATCGCGACGAAATTATCACGACAAATCCCAAAGTAGTGAGAGTAATATTGATATCATTGCTATCATGGAAGATTGGACATCGACGATATGATTTGAGAAATACTTAATCTTGAGGATAAAAAGTATAAATAATTTAAGAAAAAGTCTGAACGCACCCGTGCCATTGTGACCAATCCTGAGCCATATAATCCAACATCTTCAACCATTAGTTACAATGATGGTGCGAACTTCAACTAGATATTTTAGTATTTCATGGAGTGATATCACGTCTTGGTTTAGCCCGTCAGCCTTTTACCAACCTAAACAATTGTCATAGACTGAATTCGGTTTCAGAGCTATTAAAAACCTGAAGGCACTGAACATAGCTGTTTTACCATATTTTGCGAATCTGTATTGTCCGGAGTAAACCAATTCACAAATGCACCCTATGCAATATAGAAAATTGACTGAAAGTATATATTATCCATAGGTTTTGTTACCTTCATTTGTTCAACATGAATGCGCAAACTAGTCAAGATAAAAAAACCTACAAATAAACAAATCACAAACAACGTCGTCAGAACTGACTGATGTAACATGTGTAGAATAACTGGAAAGTTCACTCTCTACATAAAGTAAGCATTGATGTCCTGAATAAGCTCTAGAATTATTGCCTTCTAGATAAATGGAGACATCAAAACATTCTGAATATGTAGTTTTTGGGCGGCATTCTTCAATCTTTAAACATGGTTATTTACTAATGAATGGTTTTCTTTGCTTTTTAAATTCATCCTTCAGGTAATCTTGTGTTCAGTTCCGAAGAATCACAAGTCATTCTCAAACAATAAGATTCTATTCACTAGTAATGAGCAATTATCAAACACTCAATGCCTCACGCCTTTTTCTTGTAAGCAATGTCAAAATCTTATAAAATCAGTAAAACCATACTGTCATCATAATGATTCTTATTTTTCTTCATATATTACTAAGCAACAAAAGGCATGTGTCCAGTGTATAACTTCACCTATGAGTAATACTACTCATATCACTGATTTCAATAATTTGTTGCTTCCTACATATTTTTCCAAAAATCAATTTAAGAATGGTATTTATTTTGATCCTAATTATTTATTGAATGATGGTTTATTTTTTTCTGTAAATGATCGTGCTCTGACAAAGAATAAATCAAATCATCACTATAATCTGTATCGTTCTAATGATCAACAACACTGCCACCATCGACAACAATCGAGACGTCAACAACATCAGTCATCAGATATATTCTACTGTCCTCCTAATGACCATAAATTATCTTCTGAGATGTTAACAACAACTTTATCCAGTCCACGTTATAAGAAAGTTTTATTGAATGATGATGAGGAGGATAAGATTGAGAAAAAGCCGATATGCTGTCCCTATGCATCGTGTTCACAACAAACATTAATACAACCATCACCATCATTGTCTTCGGCGATATCTTCAGTGCACTTAAAAAATACTGATAGTGATCTTAGGGTTACCTTTAATCATAATGATATTAGTAGCAGAAGCAATCATGCTGTTGTTACTGAAGAGCAATATGCAACCAGGTTGATGAAATTATCCACTAAAAAGTATGATGATGAGAATCATTTACATAATACAATTTATTTGCCTTTATTACTAACATTACAAGGTAATGTTAGTGACCAGCATCATTACAATATGTCTTCATCCTTTACAGGGAAATCAGACCTATCTTCAGATTCTACAAATTATTCTTCATCGTCATCATCATCTTCAACTAGTTTCTCATCTCCATTATCAAGCGCTAGTAGCTAATTTACATTATTGCGATTCTTTATTCTTCTCCAGTTTGTTTTTTTTTCTTATGATTCTTGTGTATGTAGCTAATGATGTCCCGGTTCTCGTTCACTTTCTCCTATAATATGTCTGTTATAATTCACAGAAAAGGTTTATTACAAAAATAATTTAATTTGTGTCTTGAAAGTTTCTTTCATACTTTGATCTTATTATATTAGTGGAAAAATGAAAAAGAATTTTATACATCAGTAGGCAATTTTTTTCTAGGAAAAAAAATCCTAATCCTTATTTGTAAACATAAATTCACATACAGTTACTTTCTATACATTACTTCCATCGTTTTTTTTTCCTTGATAGATCATTATTTATTAATGATTGCTTTCAACACTTCTTTTACTCTACAAATACACATCAAACATTTTACCGGCCTAATTTGTCTATTAAATCAAATGAATAAATAATATTATACTTGTTCAATTATCATAATTTTCTAACATGATATCATATCCATTTTTGTGTGTAATCATAAGAGGTATACCATTTGTTAACCAATCAGAACATTCTAAATTATTATATAGTACTATTGACCAATTAACTTCCAGTTTAAGCATGTGTTGTTGACCTAATTGTATTTCTCTCTCATTTTCTATTGGTTGAATTTTTTTTAAGGATCGAATCACTTGAAGCAATATATTTTTTTCTAGGAAAATATTCATATATGTGCAATAATGGAATTAAATAGCATTTTTATTTTCTAAAATCTCTATATAAAATGAGGTAACAGCAGTTATTTTCATTATTGTTTTAATTTTCATTTTATTGTCTATTGCCCTTTTGCTTTATGTAACTTCTTCCTAGAATTGTTGCCTTATAAATTACGATACAATGAACTTTATATGATATGTTATCGAGTTGTTTTGTTTTTCTAAATAAATGTTTAGTAGTGAGAAAAAAAATACAAAGTTGTTTTGCTTAATAGCTACTAATATTCTTATTATTATTATCATTTATATTGCCACGATCTTCTTTATCATAATTCAGAGTAAAGTACGTTCCTTAAATTATTTATTGTGTGAAGTGTTTCCTAGGTGATATGAGTACATCGTTTTCTTCTTTTTCATTTAAGAATTTCTAAGTCATAAACCTTACAATCGGTTTCATCGATATGGGTTCACAAATTCTCCCGAATCTTGAAATTCATTATGATTTCATACTATTTTAAGCGCTCATCTATTCTTTTCGAACTGTGATGTTGGGTTTGTTACTACTATTAATTTTCTGTCGCTCCGTGGATTTTAAAGTGTGACAATTCTTCTCGATGTGCATTTATGCGAGTTCTTGCGTTTCTTCATAATTGACTTGGTGCTTGAACACTGATTACCACGACATGCAATGCTAACCGGTGTTGGGGATGGTTGGAAGAAAGTTAGGGGCGGCCAAACCAAAATGTGACATCAGTGCTTGAAGACACTAACTTCTAGTCTGAGCCATGTTGGTAGATGCAGACTACTTGGTTGGGGTCAGCGTGACTATCGTAATCAATGGTTGGAGACTCTTGATTGTATGGCTCATAATCGATCATAATGGCGTCGGTGTATAACTCTCTGTCTTCCCTCAAACCGTGAGATTAAAATCGTTTCATATCTTCCTTTCTACGAACTAATTCTTCCTTCCTGTACTATATCCTTATATGCAATTTTTCTTTTATATATTACAACCATTGAATTCGTTGTTCATCTTGTTGTGCTAATAAGGTGTGGCAACTTGGACCGATGCACATATGTGCCTGGTCCTACGTTGTAGCTGACTGACTGACTAAGATTCGTCTTATAGTCACATTATTAATCACACTTACCTTGCCAGTCAGTTATTCATATTCAATGTAGTCTACTACAAATGTATGTTGACCCAGTTTACCGTAGGAAGTTTACAATGAGGGATGAAATTAACAAGATGAATCATCATTGTCAAATGATGATGATAATTTAAGCATTCAAATATTGTTTGAGAAAAAAGGGATTAATTGGAATATTGGAATTCTCTGTTTGTGTTAATGATGTTATTCAGGAGAACAATGAGGACTTCAAGATCAAGCCATCCGGTTCAGAGAACGAAGCTGTAACAAAATCATCAACTTGAGGTACAATTGTTTTACCACTTCAAAACCTATGCTAAAACCAGCAATGTTTAATTGCTGGATAAAACCTATGAATATTGATCATTTTTTAAATTGATCGTTGCAACAACAAAGAAATTAATAATAAACTCACATATGAAGACAGTCATTTTTACTCACATATAATACATATTCTTATTAGGACATTTACAGCTAGAGAATTAGGAAGAGATTTTTCAATTTTTGCCTGAGCAATTATGTTTATTTTTTTTACGGCAAAAAAACTGTACTCTCGCTCATTTCAAAAAAGTAATGATGATGGACAAGAAATGTTTGTTTGTTTGTAGTTAGATGATGATCAACAGTATGAAGTAATAATAATACTTGGAAAAAACATAATCATAATTCTAATAATAAACAAGCAACGAACATTAGCGTCCTTATACATCATACGCTGGTGAAGTCAATATTCAGGTATTTTTGGTGAGTTTTTTCAAAGACTTTTTGCTTTCTAAAAATTAGGGGGACAGAATCCAATGCATACGACTGTTCAATGGTCATTATATAACCCGTCCTTATTACACAAACACACAGTACCTACGTACATTTACCAACATACTAGGAGACTAGAGAGAGGGAGAGAAGACAGATAAATAAATCATATGGTAATAAAGATACACAAAAACAGGGACTACATACTACTATTAACATAATATAGGTAGTGGTAGTAGTATGGCGAAATTTGCAAAACCAGTAAATGGAGGATGTATACGATACAAAAAAAGAAATTACTTTCTTTGAAAGCGGGACACATAGACACGGGAGCAATAGAGGAGTTGATAACCGAAAAGAGAATATAAAAGATTTTTGTCATAATAGTTTAAAGCTACAAAATGGTTTCACGTAATGTAACTTCTGCATTGTGATTGAAGAGGAAAAATTCAACAACAGAATTGAGTACCGGAGATCTTCATAAATACAAATATATCAGTTACTATATATATATAATAGAAAATGTTTGATCATGTTTCGGTTATCCATTAAAAGAAGAACGATATTCTACGAGGGGTTGGTCAGTGCTAGTACTATTGTCCAGGAATTAATTATGTCTAGCGTAAAGCTGAGTCCATTCACGTGCTTTAATAATAAAGATAAAACTGAAAATGACTAACAAAGAAATATTTACACAAACAATGAATAGAATGTAACAGGGAAGTGATATGTTCACTGAGTGGTGGTCAATGTCATGTTTATCTTGTCCTTTTTAGTCCCGATCGAATTCTGTCGACCGATTTGCAATGCGATTCACTAGTCTAGGCGACTCAACGTTGCGTGGACTATGTTGTGATGTTTAATGGCTGGAGATAGTCGATAGGAAACCATGTTGACTACTTGCAACTATCAAATACTGGTACCCTTAGACATGCTTTATAGACAGTTAAATATAGTGTTCCATATTTTTAAAGTGATGCAGTGATTTGTTGTTTTAGCTGCATTTTTTAACCTTTCATTAGGACCGGAGATCTGTGTAGTACTGAGATGTGTTAGTTTTACGATCAATGTTCTCTGATTTATAGTGAAGACGTCGGTTGTTTGTGGAAAGGAACTTAGTGACCACCCTTGCAACTCAGTAGTCAGCAATAGTGACTCGCCTATGAACCTTAAACTTATTGGTTTTAGCCATAACGTTCTGTAACCGACCTGTTTAGTATAAATAACACCTAAATATAGATTGACTGGATGATTATAGGAGAGTAACAAGGCCATTATATGAAGGTAGTTGAATATTCCCGGATCAATAAAACTGTTTTAAAACCATTTAGTTCATCAATAAATAATCATTTTGTCAACTTCACTAATTTATGTCAGTAGTTAGTTCGATTGAATTAGCTACCTTGATGATTAGCAGTATAAATCATTCGTTGTGTAGTAATAGGACATCAAAACATTTTTAAAAATGATCATATTCTCTTGACTGTTGTTATATGAATCTTTTCTATTTATCGTAATTATTTTAAAAACTTATTTACCAGATACAAATTTGTGTACCTGATTTTAGGTCATACTCTAAATGTTGATGACTATCAATACCACCCAACTGATTAAACTTAAGTAATTGAAGCGAGATTCGAACTTGAGACTTATTGGCTTAGTAATTTAGTGGCCACCATTCAAAATAGTTTAAATAATAACAAAGACTTATTAATATCTCACATAAGCCGACCTTTAGCAAGAGCTTCTGGTTCATTTTGTTTCCAATGTGATGCAACTTCACCGTCCAGTGGATCTTCAGGATTTGGTGCACTTAACAATGCTTGAATAGACAGTAAAACAGTGCGTATTTGGAGAGCAGGACTCCATTTATCTGGATGAATGGAGGAAAAATTAGAAAAGGCACAACTCAGTGCCAATATTTATAAAATCAATTGCAGATAACATTGGACTTAATGAGAATATATTGTATCAAGTTTCACCACAGTTTAAATTAATATAGAGAACGAAGAAATTAAAGAGGATGAGAAGTAAAAATAAGGAAAATATTAATCGCAGTAGATGGTTAAACATAGCTGATAAAGCTTAAAAGGAACAAATAAAATAGAAGGATTACAAATGTGGAATGACACTGAGATCAAGACTTAAAGGAAGATAGAGTTAGTCAACCATACGCCATGTCGAATCAGGTACATATGTGAGTCGCCTTAAGTTGCTACACTATATTAGCACAATTAGGTGAAATTATCAGTATGAGTACTAAAGTAGTAGGCGTACACTACTTGGTTGAAATCTCTGTGATTATCGTGACCAATGGTGAAACATTGCTTATAACTGAATAATATGTCGACAGTTTTCAGAACGACTAGGTTACGTATGGTTATATTACGTAGTAAAATAAACCTCATTCTACTTAGAGGTTCCAAAGTATACTCATGTTAGTAATAAATTTTTTCACATCAAATTAAATAGATACACATGAGGTATTTCTCCTTAAAGACGGTTACATAACGGTGAATTTAAAAATGCGCAGGTTTAGAATCAAGATATATGAAATTAGATAGAGGGAAAAAACAAGTGTAGCGGAAAGACAGATTTTTAGATTTTCTTGACCTATTTATTTATAGACATCCAAATACTTAAGACTACTTCGTTGCTTTGAAATAAACAATTTAAAAATTTATGAGTTAGTAAATAGCGTTCGGCAAGAAAGTCTTGTATTTGTTTGATGCATTCTTGACTGCATTTTACCGCTGTTCTATTTTAATAACTTAAGAATATATAAGGCTGTCGCATATACGGGCTACTTAAATTATTTCATCCATAATTTAAAGTGGAAAACCAATGTGATTTTTTACGCCACTCACCTGCAATTGTACAGTGCATAACTATGAGAAAGTTATCTCGTGAGTAAGAGGTAATCAAATATTACCTAAATTTGGTTATCACATTTTACAACTACACTAATATCGGGCGGTGGACTGTGACCAATGGTTGAAAGATAACAGATAGGTGGATTATCACCAGCAACAGTCTACAGACATCAACAGACTCTATTGTAATGATACAGAATGAAGTTGGTAATTGACTTAGAAAGACTAAAAATAGGATTCAACTGTTGAGAGCCAGATGGGAAATGATACCAAAGAGATTTCATGTCCTAGAAAATTGTATAAACATTTTTTGTGATATTTGGCTTTACAGCATTGTTATATAGAATTATAGTTATTTACATATTAAACGTAAAGAACAAATTGGGGCTTATTACTTTCTTATGAAAGCGTGCATTAGTGCAAAAAACGAAAATCTGATAACGATATTATCACTTGTTTGAAATTCAGA